ATTTTACTCAAACGAAAGCTATTTTTTATATTGCAGTGCACCTAATGAATATCAGAAAGGATGACTTGTCAACAAAAATTATATAATGGGAATTATAGAGTCTCCTTCTTTTTCCAAAGCATATGTGCCACCTTCTTTTTATTTCCCCCCATAAAATCTAGTTCCTGTAGGACACCCTCTCTTCTCATGTGTCCAGAGGAGACAACTCATGCTCACAATCTCCACTTTGATAATTATTTCTGTAGTGAGTAACTATTACAGATAATAATCCATCTCCTGTTGGTCTGCTGGAGCTGAAAAAGGGCTGAAAATTTTTAAAATTTTGCACTGATATGTGTAATGACCATATGATTATCATACCTCTTTTTATTCACAACTTATCAAGTAGTGAATGCTTGACATGTAGAGAGGAAAAGAGTAAATTTAAGTTGAGAGCACATCTTTAACACATTCATACATACATCCAAGAGATTCAAATAAAATAATCAAGCCAAATCACTGAAAGCTGAGAAAAGAATTGAATGTTCAAGTGGCTACCATGTAGTCACTTCATGTGATATATCATGTTATCCTGCAAAATGAGTGCTGAATATTTCAAGTAATGAAACTGAGGATCAGAGAGTGAAACTTCATTACTAGTTTCACATTTACTTCAAACTAGTAAACAAGAATTTGAGCTTATATTTCTCTAATTTCAGAATGTATGCTTTTATTGCTAATGACCTTTTTTTTTTAACTTGTTCTTCATTCTTTTTTAGTTGAGATGAATTGAGAGCAGGATAAATAAGAAAAGTAGTGTTTAGGAATGTATTGCTTAGGCGTGAGTAACTCCTATTTGAAAGGACTGTTGAGTAATTGCCATTTTTTTCTTTCTTTTTATATTTCTCCTCCATGCATAATTTCTGCATCTCCCAGCTTGCCCATTTGTCTGTTTTGTTTTGGTACTTTTATATTAGAGACACCTGAAATATTTGATTGCCTCTCATATATAAGAGTAAATCACTAAAACTTAGAAGCTCTGAGCACCTGGGTGAGGTTTGTGAACTTCACTGTATAGTTATTTAATACAGCAATTTCTTAAGAAATCCCCACTTAATATCTTTAGGTCTTTTTTTCTTTTTTTTTTGAGGCGGAGTTTCACTCTTGTTACCCAGGCTGGAGTGCAATGGCACGATCTCGGCTCACCACAACCTTCGTCTCCTGGGTTCAGGCAATTCTCCTGCCTCAGCCTCCTGAGTAGCCGGGATACAGGCACGTGCCACCATGCCCAGCTAACTTTTTGTATTTTTAGTAGAGACAGGGTTTCACCATGTTGACCAGAATGGTCTTGATCTCTTGACCTCGTGATCCACCCGCCTCGGCCTCCCAAAGTGCTGGGATTACAGGCATGAGCCACCGTGCCCGGCCTCTTTAGGTCTTTTATCCTGTTACTCAGTACCTCACTGCCCAAAGTACCTGGTATCACCACTTCCAGATCCTTTCGGTGGGTTAAAAATTTATCTGGTTTGTTTGTTGGCTTTCTTTACTGCTGAGTTCCAGTTCAGTCTTTTCTTATCTACTGAGTAGGTTGCCACTTGTATATCTGCCTTCCAGCTTTCAAAATTTTATATCTGTAGCCTGAGCAACATAGGGAGACCCTGTCTCTACAAAAATTTTTTAGAAAATTAGCTGGGCACCATGGCATATTCCTATAGTCCCAGCTATTCAGGAGGCTGCAGTGAGCCATGATCATGCCACTGTGCTCCAGCCTGGGTGACAGAGCAAGACTCTTAAAAAAAAAAAAAAAAAAAAAAAAAAAGTTGTTATCTGAAAGGTTAGTATTTTTTAAAATGTCAGTTTATTTCCATTTTCGTAGGGTTTTATGAGAGAGAGTTAATGTATGCATTCAATTTGCCATCTTTAACCAACATTGTTTATCTTCTGAATGTTCCATTTAATTTAGTTTGTTGTAGTTTTAGTCATCCAGAAGTTTACCATTTGTATGAAATTCAGATCTGTTCATATGCCTTGCCCACTTTTGAATGGAATTGTTTTTTTCTTATAAATTTGTTTAAGTTCCTTGTAGACTCTAGATATTAGACTTTTCCAGTTGGATAGATTACAAAAATTTTCTCCTATTCTGTAGGTTGTCTGTTCACTCTGTGATAGTTTCTTTTGCTTGCAGAAATTCGTGGGTTTAATTAGATCCCATTTGTCAATTTCTGCTTTTGTTGTGATTGCTTTTGGCATTTTCGTTGTAAAATCTTTGCACATGTCTATGTCCTGAATGGTATTGCCTAGATTTTCTTCTAGGGTTTTTATAGTTTGGGTTTTACATTTAAGTCTTTAACCCATCTTGATTTAATTTTTTCATAAGGTGTAAGGAAGGGGTCTGGTTTCAATTTTCTGCATATGACTAGCCATTTAGGGAATCCTTTCCCCATTGCTTGTTTTTGTTAGTTTTATGAAAGATCGGATGGTTGTAGGTGTATGGTCTTATTTCTGAGTCCTCTACTCTGTTCCATTGATCTGCGTGTGTGTTCCTGTACCAGTACCATGCTGTTTTCATTACTACAGCCTTGTAGTATAGTTTGAAGTCAGATAGTGTGTTGCCTCCAGCTTGTTCTTTTTGCTTAGAATTTTCTTGGATATTTGGGCTTGTTTTTTGGTTCCATACGAATTTTAAAATAGTTTTCTCTAATTCTGTGAAGAATATCAATGATAGTTTAATGGGAATAGCATTGACTCTATAAATAACTTTGGGCCTTATGGCTAGTTTCACAATATTGATTCTTTCTATTTATAAGCATGGAATGTTTTTCCATTTGTTTGTGTCCTCTCTTATTTCCTTGAGCAGTGGTTTGTAGTTCTCCTTGAAGAGGTTCTTCACTTCCCTTGTTAGCTGTATTCCTAGGTATTTCATTCTTTTTGCAGCAATTGTGAATTGGAGTTAATTCATGATTTGGCTCTTTGCTTGCTCGTTGGTGGTATATAGGAATACTAGCAATTATTGCACATTGATATTTTTTATACTGAGACTTTGCTGAAGTTGCTTATCAGCTTAAGCTTTTGGACTGAGATGGTGAGGTTTTCTAAATATAGGATCATGTTATATGCAAACATAGATAATTTGACTTCTTCTCTTCCTATTTGAATACGCTTTATTTCTTTCTCTTGCCTGAGGGCCCTGGCCAGAAATTCCAATACTGTGTTGAATAGGAGTGGTGAGAGAGGGCATCCCTGTCTTGTGCTGGTTTTCAAAGGGAATGCATTCAGCTTTTGCTCATTCAGTATATATTGGCCATGGATTTGTCATAGATGGCTCTTATTATTTTTAGATATATTCCTTGAATACCTAGTTTATTGAGAGCTTTTAACATGATGTTGAATTTTATCAAAGGCCACTTCTGCAACCCCAGATAATCATGTGGTTTTTGTCTTTAGTTCTGTTTATGTGATGAATCATGTTTATTGGTTTGTATATGTTGAATCAGGCTTGCATTCTGGGGATGAAGCCAGCTTGGTCATATTAGACGAGCTTTTTGATGTATGCTGGATTTGGTTCGCCAGTATTTTATTGTGGATTTTTGCATTGATGTTCATCTGAAATATTGGCCTGAAGTTTTCTTTTTTTAATTTTATCTCTGCTAGGTTTTGGTATCAGGGTGATGCTGGCCTCACAAAATAAATTAGGGAGGAGTCCCTTCCTTTAAGTTTTTCAGAATAGTTTCAGTAGAAATTTGTACCTCTGGTGGAAATTTCAGCTCTGAATCTGTCTGATTCTGGAATTTTTTTTTTTTTTTGGTTGCTAGGCAATTTATTACTGCCTCGATTTCAGAACACATTATTAGTCTATTTGGGATTTTATTTCTTTCTGGTACAGTCTTGGGACAGTATATATATCCAGGAATGTATTCATTTCTTCTAGATTTTTTAGTTTATGTGTATATATTTCGGGGGGATAAGGGTGATACCACCCTTAAGATTTGACGGTGTTCATTTGATTATTCTCTCTTTCCTTCTTTATTAGTCTAGGTAGTGGTCTATTTTATTAATTTTTTTTCAAAAAATAAGCTCCTGGATTCATTGATTTTTTTTTGAAGGGCTTTTTGTATCTCTGTCTCCTTCAGTTCTGCTCTGATCTTGGTTAACCATTTCTTGCCTTCTGCTAGCTTTGGGGTGTTTGCTCTTTGAACTGATTTTAGTATCAATATTGTACTAGCTTCATAAAATGAGATGAGGAATGTTTCTACTTTTTCCATTCTAGGAAGAATCTGAATAAAAGTGGAATTATCTCTCCCTTGAATGTTTGGTAGAATTTACTGGTAAAACCAAATGAGCCTGATATTTTCTTTATGAGAAGACTTTAAATTATTGATTCAAATTATTTAATAGTTGTAGGACTATTTAAATTGTTTTATTTATTTTTTATTGAGTTGTGGTTATTTGTATGTTTGTAGGAATTTTCCACTTGGTCTAAGTTTTCCAATTTATTGATATAAAATTAGTCATAGTAATTCCCTATTATCTTTTTAATCTTTGTAATTATGTCCCATTTTTCATTCCTAATACTGCCTATCTATCTCTTTTCTTTATCTTGATAAATCTGACTGGAAATTTGTTTAATTTTATTTGTTTTTTCAAAGAACCCATTTTTAGTTTTGTTGACCAAATTGTTTTATCTTTGTTTTCAGTTTCACTAAATTCTGTTCATATCTTCATTTCTTTCTTTCTACTTTCTTTGTTTTTTTTTCTGTCTTTCTCCCTAACTTCTAACTTATTTTCTAATATAAACATTGAAAGTTATACCTTTTTCTACTCCTTTTTTTGTGTAAAGTACAAAAATTGGCAATCAGGAATTTCAAAGTGGAGAAAATATTTCATTTTGACTTTTAAATTGCCACTGTCAGTTGTGCCTTTTAAGTTCATAGTGCTGATCAAGTCAAACCATATGATTTTGATATGTACCTGGGAAAATTATGCTTATTTATGTGGTTTTAATTTCATTATGTTTCATATAGGATTCACCTTTATTTGATCTTATTAAACAATCAAAGGACCGAGAAGGACCAACTGATCACCTTGAATCTGCTTGTCCTCTTAATGTTCCTCTCCAGAATAATCACACTGCAGCAGATATGTAAGTAAAATATATGTTATGTTGTCTGTTCAAACTGCAAATAGATTATAAGCATAAGTGTAATGTAAGGTTCTATAAAGAAACTGTAGCAAATAGAATTTTAAATAAGACATTGTTTCTAGTTTTAAGAAATTAGTAATGTAAGATACATGACCCAAATAAAGTCATATAAAAGAGTACAAAGCGCTACTGAATCACCTAGGATTTGCATAATGAGAGAAGTTTTCATGGCAGAGTTGGCAGTTTAGGTGGAATAGGATTTCGACATGGAAACTGGAGAGGGTAGAGGAGCCAGAGGAGTGTGTTCCAAGAGTGAGAATGGCATGAACTCAAAAGTATCAAAGGAAGCAGAAAACATTTTTCAGAGTGTGCAGGTCAGTTTATTTGGAGTGAAGCATAGGATAAGTATAGGGAGAAGTTTGGGATATGGACTTATACACAGTTGATTAGTGTGTGATGATGATGATGATGATGATGATGATGATGATGATGATGGGAAAAGAGAATATAAACCAAAAAATATCTGAAACAGGTCTCAATCAATGTAGAAGCTTACTTTGCCATGGTTAAGAATATGCCCAGGAGAGGGCATATTATATGTGCCTTTCTCCAATGATGATTTTGAGGTCCCCAATATTTATATCTGGAGGGGAAAGGAAAAGGGTATGGTAATCCACATGTTGCAAGAGAAAAGGAGCAGATAGAGAAATAGTCAATTATATATCCATCTTATGCTGAGTAAATCAACACTTTACATAATAAGGTGAACATAGAGTAGCTATCTATGGAAGTATTTAACCTCGTATCTCTATTTATATGTGTGGGAACAGGGAAAGGCAGTTTCTTGCATGACTCAGCTTAATTTTTTCCTTTTGGCATAGTGAATTGGGGTCCCAAGTGTTTATTTTCCTTTCACAAAAGCAATAGCTAACTATGTGCTGGGCAGTGGCCTAAGTACTTAAGATTTATTTTTTCATTTAATCTTCATAACAGCCCTATAAGGTACTAGATGCTCCTGTCAGCCTGTATCTATAAAACAGGAATTAGAGAAATAAGATAACTGCCTAAGGTCAACAGAAATCAAACCCAAGCTATCTAATCCCAAAGCCCAGGCTTTTAATCACTCTAGCTACATTGCCTTTCGCAGAAATGTGCCTACTGTTTTGTTTCTGTTTAATTCTGTGTAGGAATTGACATTGCAGTATTCTGTATTAGTGCAGGGATCATTTTCCAGAGATGTCATTTTCATGCTAACTTGTACTCAAAGTGTTTCTGGCATATGGAGACTCTGCCTTCATGTATACATTTATTTCATAGATAATACTTTATATAAATAAGTTAAGCATTTTTTTTTTTAAATTCAACGTGCGTCATCTTATTGAATTTTAACTGCCAGGAAGTGGTATACGCACTGGGAGTACAGAAGTTAGATGGTCTGGGTCCTTCTGCTCATAGAGCTTACAATCTGGAGGAGGAACACAGGCAGTGAACAAGTAAACCAAGATGTAAGATGATTTTAGAGTATAATAAGTGCTATCAAGGAAATAAACAGAGTGATGTGAAAGACAAACTGAGAGGCTGATAGAATGCTTAGTGGCACTTTCCTTTTTCCGATGAAGTGATATTTTGACCTGACACCTGAAGGTCAAGCTGATGCTGGCCAGGCAAAAATCTGCATGATGTGCATTCCAGGCAGAGCTAACAACAAGTGCAGTGGCTCTAAGGCAGATCAAACTTAGTTGGATTTAGGAACAGAAAGAAAGAAATCCTAGTGTGGCTGGGGTATTGGAAGAGGAGAATGGCACAAGATGAGATTGAAGAGCTAAGCTGGGGTAGATCTTGTAGGTTCCCACAGGCCAGACAGAGTAAGGAGTTCGGATTCTGTAAGGGTAGTGGGAAACCATTTAAGCAGGAATGCAGCTTGCTATAATTTGTATTTTTAAAGGTCCACTCTCTGACTGTTATCTGAAGTAAAGGTGGGTTTGGAGGAAAGAAAGGGACAAGGCAAGGCAGAAAGCGAGGAGACCAGTTTGGGGACTATTTCTGTATTTCAGATGAGGGATGTAGGTGACTTAGTCTAAGGTATGGCATTGGAAGTAGAAATTGAGCGATCTGGAATGTATATAGAGATAAATTAATAGGTTTTACATTGGTTTTATGTTGGATTTCAGGAATTTGGAAAATTTAGAAATTAAAAATAACTCCTAGATTTTTGTCTTAAGACACTAGATGTAATATCAGGCTATTCATAGAGATAGGAAGGGAAATCCAGAGCTCTTCTTTGCTCTTATTAAGTCTGAGATGCAAGTAGTTATATCCAGTAGGTAATTGAATATTTACACCTGGAACTTCAGAGACTAACTTCTGCCTGAGTTAAGCCAGTTTATGATACTGTCGGATAGTGAACTGAATGAAAATCCAAAGTGTATAGTAGACCAGACACTGGTCCTTCTAAAATCTTTGTGATAATGAGTTGCTTTACTTAGTGTACTAATTAATATACTACATGTTGTAAAAACATCCATAGTAAGTTACAAATTCTGCTTCCTGTTTTCTTTGTTCTTAAAGTTTATGTCTTTAAAAATAATTTTATTTGCCAGCTACCAAAAGAAAATTAGAAAGTAGATCTAGATTATTCTGTTAAATAGGGGGCAGCACAGAGTGATAATATTTGCTAATATCCTTGCCTTGAGTTATGCCTGATATATTTAGTATACAAGTATAAATCTGAATAATGTTATTTGAAGTATTAATTTATAGAGTTCTGTACTGTGTAATTTAGGTGCGTGTAAATCTGTGTGGATAACTGAAATCTTAGATGAGAACCATAGTTATCACTAAAAAAGCTTTTAGGAGGAGAATCACAAAAACAGGATAACACTATTTAATATCAATAAATTGTTTTTTAAGCTGGAATCATCTTATGGTCTCAATCCCACTATAATTATTAAAATTGAACATTATAGATATTAAGGTAATAATACCCAGGAAAAGCCATTTGTTAAGATAGAGTTAGATATGATGATGACAGGCAGTTTTCCTGTTAATATATCTTTCCCAGCTTGCATTTAAATAGTCTGCTCAGTGAATTTGGTTTAGAATAACCAATTAAATAGACAAGATATATCTGGGTGTACAACCTTGAAGTGTGTGTATATTCTGTGATTCTTAGCCAACTTCAAATGAAGACTTTTTCCTTTGAATATATCTAGGTATCTTTCTCCTGTAAGATCCCCAAAGAAAAAAGGTTCAGCTACACGTGTAAATTCTACTGCAAATGCAGAGACACAAGCAACCTCAGCCTTCCAGACCCAGAAGCCATTGAAATCTACCTCTCTTTCACTGTTTTATAAAAAAGGTTAGTAGATGATTATTTTCAAGAGCATGGACTCTGAAACTAGGCTGACTGGGTTCAAAGAATGTTTCTTCTACTTTCTAGGTACATCACTGGGCAAGTCACTTAGTATCTCTGTGGCTCAGTTCCCTCATCTATAAAATGGAAATGATAATGTTGCGGGATCTTTCCTGACTTTTCACAGAGTTGTTTTTTCTGGCTGGAAACCTCTGTGGCTGCTGGCGCCTTTGACCGAGTTTTGCTTGGGCCCACTGGGCTCATTTCACCCACTTGGCCTGACAGACTGCACTCAGTTCACACTACCGGCCTGGGTCCCATGCCTGCCAGGAGCAAGTCAGATGTGGAATGGAGAGGGGTGTGTGAGTAAGCATGGGGCCCAGCCACTGCACGCAGTCATAAATGCTGGCTGTTGCAGCAGGACAGGCAGCTCCAGGTGCTTGCACAGGCGCCGGCTCTCTGTGAGGCTGCAGCTGGACCAGGTGCACCACAAGCATTTTCCACAGCTGGCACCAGGGACAACAACAGCTCGTGGTCCTCTGATAATCTCTTTCCTGATTTTATTCAAGTAAGAATTATGCTGAGCTTTACAGGCATATTGTAAGATATCCTTAGGTTAGAGCAGTGGTTTTCAAAGCGTTGTTTCCAACCAGCAGAATTCACATCACTTGGAAATTGTAGAAATGAGAATTCTGTGGCCCCAACCTAGACCCACTCAGTCAGAAACTCTAAGATAGGGCCCCCAAAACCTTGGTTTAACAAACCTCCAGCTAAGTCTGATATACGTATGCTAACGCTTAGGACAACTGAGATAAATTGTTAGCTTTAAAAATTTCAAATTACCTATTCAAGTCATTGAAAGAGACATATAAAGGGTCTTTATATAATATTTAAAGTAAGTGAACGAAAATTCAATTTTATGGATTCCTTTTTGCCAAATTTGCATTTTCAGTAGTATTTTTTATAGACTAAATAAATTTCATATTGCAGTCATTTTATATTTAGGTAACCTACAAGTTTACCATTTTTCAATAGACTATGCTCCATTGGTATTTTATAGAGAAATGTGTGGCTTAATTTTTTTAGGATTAGAAAAATTAATAGATACTGGCAATTCTATAATTTAAAAAAATGATTGTTCCTCTTGAATATTAATAGTGAGAATGACCAATGGTGAGTGATTGTTAATGGAACTGAAACAAACCCTATTAGGTTTGTGTAATTTGACAGTGTCTCATGACCTTTCCTCAACTACTTCCCACTTCTGCACCAATTTCATGCCATAATAGTCGATTCAGAAAGTATCATTCTGCCTTCTATGTACCTAGAACTGTGCTAACACAAGGAATCAATTATTTTTCAGGAAAATAGTGGTAGAAAAATCTTAAACATCACCACTAAAGAACTTATTCATGTAACCAAACACTACCTGTTCCCCTGGAAACCTATTTTTTTAAAAACTCATGCCTATGTAATGAAGCCTCCATAAAAACCCAAAAGGACTTGGTTCTGGGAGCTTTCTGAATATCTGCCCAACTGGAGGTTCCTGGAGAATAGCGTGCCTGGGGAGCACATGGAAATTCCATGCCCCTTCTGCTTTTCTTCATCTGTATCCCTTGTACTATCCTTCATAATAAACCAGTAAACATATTTTTCTGGGGGGAAAAAAGAAGAGTGGTAAAATGAAGTTTCTTTTAAAATGCTACTTAACAGCATTATAATTAGAGCAGTTTTACAATTTGAAAAAAATCTACTGGTATTTCAAAATGAGCAGTAAAAATGACTAATTCTTCTTATCACCACAGTGTATCGTCTAGCATATCTCCGGCTAAATACGCTGTGTGAACGCCTTCTGTCTGAGCACCCAGAACTAGAACACATCATCTGGACCCTTTTCCAGCACACGCTGCAGAATGAGTATGAACTCATGAGAGACAGGCATTTGGACCAAGTAAGAAAATCAATCACTTAACCTTCTCTCCTCCCTACTTACTTGTTAACTGATTTCTTTTTTGTTTTGTTTTGTTTTGAGATGGAGTCTCACTCTGTTGCCCAGGCTGGAGTGCAGTGGCATGATCTCAACTCACTGCAACCTCCGCCTCCTGGGTTCAAGTGATTCTCCTGCCTCAGCTTCCCAAGTAGCTGGGATTACAGGCGTGCACCACCATGCCTGGCTAATTTTTGTATTTTAGTAGAGATGGGTTTTCACCATGTTGGCCAGGCTGGTCTCGAACTTCTGACCTCAGGTGATCCATCTGCCTACACCTCCCAAAGTGCTGAGATTACAGGCTTGAGCCACCTCACCCAGCCTTGTTAACTGATTTCTTAAGAAAGTATTAGATTCAAATGAGAAGCTAGATCAATTTATTATGCTTAATATATATTCACTTTTTGGCTACCATTTACATTTTTGTTCTAATTCTTACAAATTAAAGCTTTAGCACTCAAGAGTATGTTTCAGTAACTACTTACTTAATGACAAAAAATATCTTACCTGTAAAGAAAATAGCTGAAGAACCTTTTTATCATAGGCTTTTTCTGTGAGCTAGATTTCATTTTAGTATGAAAACATGAGACTTAAGAATCAGTTGATTTAAAACAATACCTGTTGAAAGAATGAATGAATGAATGAAGTAAATTAGTTTACAGTGAGAGAATGATCTTTCATATCTTCCTTTTTCTCTATAAAATAGGTTAATAAGAATAATATACTTTTGACTGGGTGCAATAGGCTCATGCCTATAAGCACTTTGGGAGGCCAAGGTGGGCAGAACTCTTGAGCTCAGGAGTTTGAGACCAGCCCGTGCAACCTAGCAAAATTCAGTCTCTTCAAAAAATTAAAAAATTAGCCAGGTGTGGTGACTTGCACCTGTGGTCCCAGCTACTTGGCAGGCTGAAGTGGGAGGTTTGCTTGAGCCCAGGAGATGGAGGTAGAAGTGAGTTGAGATCACATCACTGTGCTCCAGCCTGGGTAACAGAGCAAGACTCTGTCTCAAAATAAATTTTTTTAATTAAAAAAAATCTATACATATATAGTTAATAGCTTTATTGACATAATTCACACACCATAAAAACCACACATTTAGAATGTACAGTTCAGTGGTTTTTAGTGTATTCATGGAATTGTACAAACATCACCACAAACAATTTTAGAATTTGTATCACACCAGAAAGAAACTTCATACTCTTAAGCAGTCACCCCTATTCCCCTATCCACTCAGCCCAAGGTAATACTAACTATTTTCTCTCTACAAACTTGCCTCTTCTAGACATTTCATATACATGGAATTATATAATATGTGATATTTTGTGTATAGCTTCTTTCATTTAGCATAATGTTTTCAAAGTTCATCTGTATTGTAGCTTATATCAGTACTTCATTCCTTTTTATTGCCGGATAATATTCCATTGTATGGATATACCATATTATGCATATCATTCATAAAGTGATGACCATTTGGGTTGTTTCCACTTTTTGGCTATGATGAATAATGTTACTGTGAACATTCATGTACATGTTTTCATTTCTCCTGGTACATACCTAGGGGTAGAATTGGTAGGTCATATGATAGCTCTATGTTAACTTTTTGAGGAATGCCCAGATCATTTTCCAAAGTGGCTATACCATTTTACATCCCTACCAATAATATATAAGGTTCCAATTTCTCTATATCCTCACCAACTTTTTAATCTGTGTTTTTTTTTATCATAGCCATCCTAGTGGATATAAAATGGCATCTCAGTGTGCTTTTGATTTGCATTTCTCTGAAGGCTAATGATAACACCTTTTCATGTGTTTACTGGCTATGTATATATCTTCTTTAGAGAAATGTCTATTCAGATCCTTTGCCTAATTTTTTTTTTTTTTTGAGTTGGGAGTCTTGCTCTGTTACCCTGGCTAGAATGCAGTGGCACAATCTCAGCTCACTGCAACCTCCCTCCAGGGTTCAAGTGATTCTCCTGCCTCAGCCTCCGGAGTAGCTGGGATTATAGGTGCACACCACCACATCTGGCTAATTTTTGTATTTTTAGTAGAAACAGGGTTTCTCCATGTTGGTCAGGCTGGTTTCAACCTTCTGACCTTGTGATCAGCCCACCTTAGCCTCCCAAAGTGCTGGGATTACAGGCATAAACCACCACCCCCAACTCAAATCTGAAGTTGTTAAGATTTATTCCTGTTTGTCTCCAAAAGGTTTATAGTTTTAGTTCTTACATTTAGGTTTTGCTCCATTTTGACCTAATTTTTTAATATAGTTGAGGTAGGAGTCCAGCCTCATTCCCTTGTTAGTGAATATCTTGTTGTTCCAGCACCAGTTGTTGAAAAGGTTTTTTTTCTCTTGTCATTGACAGTTGTCAAAAAATCAGTTGACTGTAAATATATAAATATTTATTTCTGGACTCTTAATTCTGTTTCACTGATCTACATAAGCTATTCTTACGCCAGGACTACCCTGTCTACACTTGGCTAGTAGAATGCCAAGCCAAAGATGATTTTTGGCATTCTTGCCAATAGTAGATGAGAGCAAGAATGTTGCAGAAGTAATGAGTACTTAAATTAGGCTATAAAGTTCATACAAATAAAGTCTGACATTTAAAGTCACAGGGAATCATTTTTAAATATCTTCTATTGAAATGTAATACACATATATAAAAACCTGCATCTCAAAAGGATACCTTCTAATGAAAATTCATCAACTAACTTAGTTATATAACCAACATCCAGATCAAGAAACAAAACATTGTCAACAACACATAAGACTCTCTTACATGCCCTTCCAGTCACCTTACCCTCACCACTACCACCAAGTATGTTCAATATTATCTGCTAGTTTGAAACATTTTAACACCTGGCTTTTTTAAGTGCTAGTTATGCAAAATTAACTGATTCTAGTTTCAACTTTTCTGGGAAACATTTAAGGGACAGGAGCCAAAGTTAGGGTAATTTACAAACCAGGTGATCAGTCCTAAATAATTGAGCCTTGGTCATTTGCATTTTGTTCTTTAAATACACTTTGGGTTAAACACTTCATGTAGAGTTTCAAATTGAGCTCAGTATGGAAAGAAATAACTATGTAGGAAATTAAACTTTTCTTTTTTGAGGCTAAAAGGAAGAAAACTATTTTTTTTTAGAGCAAAACCACATAATAAAATTCTGACTAGTTTTACATCATATTTATTTACTAGATTATGATGTGTTCCATGTATGGCATATGCAAAGTGAAGAATATAGACCTTAAATTCAAAATCATTGTAACAGCATACAAAGATCTTCCTCATGCTGTTCAGGAGGTAGGTGATTTTCCATAGTAAGTTTGATAAATCCATATCTGTAATAAAGATAATTTTATTCATTCACAGGCTCATATATTCTGATCTTATGTAAATTTACAAATAAAAATTTTTATATTATTTATTTGTAACTTAAATGCTTAAATGGAATTGGAAAGGTAAGATAAATTATGAAATTATCCATATTCGTGGTTTTTTTATAAATTTAACAAGTAATGCTTTATCTGTGTAATAAGCAAGTATTTATAATAAACCTGGCATGAGTCATAGTACATTAGATGATCTTTTATTTTTATTACTTTATAGGAAAAGTCAGCATAAATGCAACCTTGCAAAGAAATAATAAATATGTTCAGTATAAACACATTTTGTATTTCTAAACACATTTACCTTCCCTTTAGAGAAACAGGAGTAGTAAAATATACTTGGTATGACACGTTTCATACGGTTCTGTGGAAAGTGAGTTGTGGGATATCTTTCCCATTTATTATTAGAGTTTTCAAAAGTAATACAAACCAAGTCATTTTTGTTTGTATGTTTGAAGTTATTTTAAATTCAATCATTTAAGTGTATAATGTGTCAGAGGCATTTGATATAACCTCTGTGTTTTTACCTAACTAAAATTTGAGTGAAATCTAACACTAAAATATAGTGCTTTTACTAAGTGTCTACTTCCTGCAATTGAGTAATGCTATTTAAACCCTTATAGAATGGGGCGATACAGGGAGGTACAGGCCAGAGGATATAGTCTAAATATTAATGGATAATGTCATTGGCTTTCACTTAGTTCTGGCCCTTTGATTCCCATAATGCTTTCCATTCTACCAGCCTGTCTACTCTCTCTTCTTGGATGGCCAGCTATTCCATCTGCTGCCTGGCTGTTTTTCTCAATAATCCTATGACATTTCGCTTCTAGTAGAGCATCTATAATTCAAACCTAAGAAGGCATTTTAGATTATTTTTTCCTGTATAATATGTGCTTCTTACCAGTCAAAAAGTTTTACAAACTTTTAGAAAAGAAAATCTAAAGGTAGAAATTTTAAAATTAATTTAACAAGTGAATTTTACTTTTTTTTTTTTACTCTTCTTCCTCAGACTTTCAAACGTGTTTTGATCAAAGAAGAGGAGTATGATTCTATTATAGTATTCTATAACTCAGTCTTCATGCAGAGACTGAAAACAAATATTTTGCAGTATGCTTCCACCAGGGTAAGTCAAAAGTATCCTTTGATTGGAAATATCTAATTATAAAGTAATGGGTCCCATTAAAACATTAAATAAATAATACTACTTTTTTGTTTTTGCTCTAGCCCCCTACCTTGTCACCAATACCTCACATTCCTCGAAGCCCTTATAAGTTTCCTAGTTCACCCTTACGGATTCCTGGAGGGAACATCTATATATCACCCCTGAAGAGTCCATATAAAATTTCAGAAGGTCTGCCAACACCAACAAAAATGACTCCAGGAACAAGGTGTGTGTATTTTCTCGTTAGAGAGGTAGTAAAGAATGAAAGGGGGATAATTTTGATCCAAGAATAAAAATACAACGCTTTCTTCATTTCAAATAAGCTAGACTCTTGAGTCTATTTGTTTATTTAAGTAACATAATGAGAATCTAGGGGGAAAGAAAATCTATTTACTTGGATGGGTTTACAAATTTAGTTATCAGATTTCCTGACTGCTAGGGGTATCTTCTTTTGTAAACAGTTTTTGAACCAGTTTGGTTATATGTTTCAAAACACTTTAATATTTTTGTAAGTAGTCAATCTGCTAAACAATGCAGGTTACTTTAGGTTGAGTACTTTTAGTTTGTAGTTTATTGGATGTCCTATAAATTTTGCTTCCTGTGGATTTTGTTCATTCTGCTGGTTATATTAAATGTAGATTACTGTCAATTAAGTCTTTAGAGGTCCATTCCTAATCCTGTTGGCAACCTCTTTACCACCTTACCTTGGGCAGGTCTCTATCTCTACTACACAAGGGTGCTGTGGATCAGCAAAATGATTAGTATGAAGCTGTTTTAAATTCTAAGATGAAAGGTTGTGTGCAACTATAAATCATTATATTATCTTCCCATCCAACCACAAGTGCTCTCTGGCTTTGAAGTGCTTCAGTTGACTAATTATATATTATCAGGGGCTATTTGAAACTGACTTTATTTGTGTAAAGTAGGAGGCAGATTAGCTAGTATAGTTAATGTAGTCTCATTTCAGAAATTGTCAGCCCATATGGTTGTCCCTCATGGACAAGAAAAGGGAGATATATTAGTCTTTTAGAAAATATTTGCATGGTATATTTAATTATTTAAGTAGTACATACTCATGGTAAAAATTGCAAACTCTACAGAAAAATATGAAGTAATAAATAACTGGCAATATGATACAAATGCTCTCATGTGCCTCTATATCATCCTTTATTTATTTGGTGTTCTTATAGTTGGATATCTGTGTACTGACTCCTTCTACTTGTTCCAAGCTGTTAAAATGCCACGTTATCTCTATATAAGAAAATTTACAGGCCGGGTGTGGTGGCTCACACCTGTAATCCAAGCACTTTGGAGGCCAAGGCGGGCGGATCACCTGAGGTTGTGAGTTCAAGACCAGTCTGACAAACATGGTGAAACCCCGTCTTTAAACAAAACAAAACAAAACAAACAAAACAAAAAAATTTATACAGTCCCATGCCACTGTATGAAAATGTATACTTAGGTAGTTTTTTAATAGTGATTATTAATCCATATTATGGTGATAATGATGGCTACTTCCTGATCCTTAGTGAAATCAATTGTGTTGTATTCTTTAGCAAAAAAGTCACATTCTGAACATTCTAACTAATAAATCATTGATCAGGCATTAGGAGAGCATTATATTTAGAATGATGACCACTTATCAAGGAATTGGAGGACAAAAAAAAACTTTATATGCACTAGTTCCATGTTCATGTTTTCAAATCTTTGTTGAGTCATGTCAAGCTAATGATGTTCTTCAGCTTTATTATCAAGAACATAACTTATATGGTTTAAATAAAGACAGACTAATAAAGATTTCTGACTATATATTTGATATATGATAACTAGCCTTTACTATACCAATATAGATGCTAATTAGAATTCTGATTATTAATATTCTAAGTTTTTGCCAAATATAACTTGAATTTTAAATGAGAAAATATGAAAGAAATTTGATAACTTACTCATTGATTTATGAAGAACTAAGTAGGGGTAAACTTGAAAATTTCCTTTGCTCTCCTTAAATATGGGGAATGGCAAAATATGTTCTTGCAGACCTATGGTTTTTGCTTTAAAACTAAGAGACCAGGTGAGTATATGATTAAATGGGCACTGTTAGAATAATCCCCAAATGAATATAGTTTGTCAGTGGTTCTAGGGTAGAGGTAGCCTTTAACTTGGAATTCCTGATAGTTCAGAATAGTATATCTATGCTCATCTCTGCAAAATTGTACATGATTTTTATTACTAATTGGTATTTCATCTTAACTTGACAGAATCTTAGTATCAATTGGTGAATCATTTGGGGTGAGTATTTTATTTCTATGAAATGTAATAGTACACATTGTAAGTATAAAAGTAATTAGAGTTTTCTATAATTTGAATTTGCAAATACAATTATTCAAACACCTCACTCAGGCATATTGCGTAGAATTTTATGAGATATATATATCTCAGATTTACTTTCAAATCAAGTTTAATCTCCATTTATACTCCTAACTAGTGAACTTCAAAACTTTTCTAAATATTCCTTTGAGATTATATAATACACATATATACATTTGTGTGTATACATGCATATATATGTGAGTTGTTTTTGCTCACACTTCTATCACCCAATATGTGAGATTCTTTTTTTTTTTTTTTCTCAAACAAATCTGTTCTTCAACTCTCTTGTGTTCTACAATTCAATTTATTTCTAACACTAATTACCCAGAGTCAGCATCAGACTCCACAGGTTCAAGGGCTCAGTCCCACAAAACTGGTCTCACTGCAGACACCCGTCACAACTGTCAGGCCCCCAGGCTACACCACACTTCCATCTGACTTGGATACAAAGTTAGGGGGTTCCCATGTGCCTCTTCCTTAGGTTTGATCACTTGCCAGAATTAGTCACAAAACTCTGGAAAAAATTTTACTTATTATTATCAGTTCATTATAAAAGATGCAAATGAACAGCCCAATGAAGAGGTATTATACAGGGTGAGGTCCAGAAGAGTCCCTAGCACAGGAGCTTCTGTCCCAGGGAGTTGAGGTACACCACCTTCGCAGCACTTGGACATGTTTACCAACTCGAAAGGTCTCCCAACCTTGTTGTTGACAGGTTTTTATGGGGGTTTCATTATGTAGGCATAACCAATTAACTCAATCTCCAACCCTCTCCGCTCCCCGGATAGAGGGTGGGGCTCAAAGTTCCAAGCTTCTACTCAAGACTTGGTCTTTCTGGCAACCAGCTCTCATTCTGATTAGCCAGGTCCCCACCAAGTGTCACCTCATTAGAACAAAAGATGCAGGCCGGGTGCGGTGGCTCAAGCCTGTAATCCCAGCACTTTGGGAGGCCGAGGCGGGTGGATCACGAGGTCAAGAGATTGAGACCATTCTGGTCAACATGGTGAAACCCCGTCTCTGCTAAAAATACAAAAAATTTGCTGGGCACGGTGGCGCATGCCTGTAATCCCAGCTACTCAGGAGGCTGAGGCAGGAGAATTGCCTGAACCCAGGAGGCGGAGGTTGCAGTGAGCCGAGATTGCGCCATTGCACTCCAGCCTGGGCAACAAGAGCGAAACTCCGTCTCAAAAAAAAAAAAAAGAACAAAAGATGGTCCTATCACCCTTATCACTTAGGAAATTTCAAAGGTTCTAGGAGCTCTGTTCCAGGAACCGGGGACAAAGACCAAATATCTTCCTATGATACTATGTATGTATGTACATAACCTCGTATGAATTATGAGAATGATTTGAAATGACATACTCCAAAATGTAAGCCCTACATCCAAATGTCACCAGCCTGTCCCTGCGTCTTCTCTTTCCATACATACACACTTTTTGTTTGTCCTTCCTCTCAGACTTCTCAGACTTCTAGGATATTCTTTTTCTGGTACACTGGTTAGGAATTGGTTACATGAGACTCTGACTCAATGAAAGTGGCAGGGCTTCATTCTAAGAGATCCAAGGGAAAACTTTGCTTTGAAACATTTATTCTAGACTGCAAATCCTCGACTCTAGTTGACCTTCCATTAAAGTCGCTAATTCAGCAGTCTCAGATTCAGTACGCATTACTATTATTATGTTGCATTGCACCATCTCCACACTTTCTGAGAGCATATTTTTAATTTTTTTTTAATTTTAATTTTTAGAGACAGTGTCTCACTCTGTCACCTACTCATTGTAACCTCAAACTTTTGGGCTCAAGTAATCCTCTCACCTTAGCCTCCCAAGTTGCCAGAACTACAGGCATGCAGCACCATGTCCAGCTAATTTTTAAACTTTTTGTAGAGACAGGGTCTTGCTATGTTGCCCAGATTGGTCTTGAACTCCTGACTTCAACAATCCCCTGCCTCAACCTCCCAGAGAGAGCTGGGATTACAGACGTGAGCCACTGCACCTGGCCAGAGAGCTTATATTCTTTTTTTTTTTTTTTTTTTAATTGAGACGGAGTATCACTTTTGTTGCCTAGGCTAGAGTGTAGTGGCTGATCTCGGCTACTGCAGCCTCCACCTCCTGGGTTCAAGGTATTCTCCTGCCTCAGCCTCCCAAGTAGTTGGGAAAACAGGTATGCCCCACCACTCCTGGCTAATTTTTTTTTTTATATTTTTAGTAGAGACGGGGTTTCTCCATGTTGGTAAGGCTGGTCTCGAACTCCCAACCACAGGTGATCCTCCTGCCTCAGCCTCCCAAAATTGCTGGAGTTACAGGCATGAGCCACTGCAGCTGGTCAAGAGCTTATACGCTTATAGGAATGGGAAGACTGCCTATATTATGTATTGTTACGTAATGCATTACCCCCAAACTTAGTGACTTAAAACAAACATTTATTATCTCCATTTCTGTGGGTCAGTAATCTAGTCATGACTTATCTGGACCAGAGTTTCTCCAAAGTCTGTGATCAAGGTGTCAGCTGGGCCTGCAGTCACCTCAAGGCTCCACTGGAGGAGCATTCACTAGCAGACTTATTCAAATGGCTGTTGGTTGATCCTGTATGGGTGCTGGCTCCTCTATTGGTTTCTTGCCCTTGGGCCCCTCCATAGTGCTACTTGCTGCTTACAATATGGCATCTTGCTTTGCCCAGAGCAGGGACTGAGGGAGGCTGGGAAATAAAGAGCAGGATATAGAGGTTACAGTCTTTTTGTAATCTAATTCTGGAAATGACAATCCATTACTTTTGGCATATTATTTTGGTTAAAAGCAAGACAAGAATAGATCTAGCCCAGACACAAGGAGGTGGATACCAGGAGGTAGTGTCATTGGGAGCCATCTGACAGGCTGCCTACCACACTGCCCCAAGTAACCAGGGAGAGGTAAAAGTTTGTATGCCAAATGACCAAGTGTTAAAATGTATGTTGCAATAATTGGTGATGGGCTGCAGCTGTCAGGCTTTACAAAGGAGCTATGGGGCCTTATAAGGACAGTTGGTATCACATGGTGGTCTTCAAACATTTTTGCTTGCCATAACCTCTAAAATAATTGAGAAAAAGGTGAATGTACTTCCATATCTTAAAGCTGATAATTTAAATTATTATAAATTTAATAGCAGCAGAGGATTCAGTTTCTGTTAAATTGTATATGTGCTCCAAATAGATTTACCATCAAAACCTGTTTCGAATTTAGTATTGGGAGAATTCACTCATTAAATTTTTGGAAAATAAAGCATAATTGGCAAAGCTAATCCTCACTCTTGATTCTATCAGTCAAATCAGATATAATTTCTATCAGAAAGTCTATAAGACTTGTCAATATAATACCCATAAAGTGAATCAAAAATTATTATTCATTGAACACATAATCTCTTATCAAATTCTTGTGACCTTCCCTCTGCTGGTTATATAATAGCCTAAAAGAAAAAAAAATGTCAAAAGCAAATTTCCAGAAAGCTGTTCCTACTTGCCTACTGCTGAAACAGCCTATATAGGTGGGTTCTGAAAATGAGGAACCAGGACCTGCAGAGTAGTCAGTTGCTGGAGGAAGAATGTGAGCTGCATGGAAAAGACAGGAGGATTTACAAACAGTGGGTGTTTAACTGAGGATGGAATTAGGGAGTAATTCTGATTTTTACATTTTTCATATATTTTATTTGGTCCAATGAAGCAGAAAATTAAAATGAAGTGATTACCTCTGCCTGTGTTCGACACACCTCAAACTATAACTTGAAGTTGCTAAATACAAAACACTGTCATTTAATGATTTAAAGTATTCTGTAATTTGTAGACTTCTGAGAAGTTCCAGAAAATAAATCAGATGGTTTGTAATAGTGACCGTGTGCTCAAAAGAAGCGCTGAAGGAAGCAACCCTCCTAAACCGCTGAAAAAACTACGCTTTGATATTGAAGGATCAGATGAAGCAGATGGAAGGTAGGAACCATTATAGAATGTTTTCCAGTAGCTGAGATGGTCATCTGGGGAGTCCAGAGTCTCAGCACTGCTCCTGACTTACACCTGTTTCTTTCATGCCAAGTTTATTTGGAAGTTGTGAGAATGGCTCCAAATAATAGATATGAGCATAGTGCAAAGTTAAAAACGCCATACAAATTGTGTGCCAACATTCAGTGAAGATAGCTAATGTTAAAACCTGCTCTTTTTTACAAAGCTATTGATACAATTTTGTTTTTAACATAAAATTTTAAAATGTTTACTCTTGAAAAATATTAACCACTGTGTTTTGTAAGAACCACCGAAAAAATATATAGCATCATAAATTTGTGACATTTATGTTTTATATGGTTTTAAATGTTAAAAGCTACTCACTAAAATAATCACATAAAGTAAGTCACCAAAAGCATCATAGTTACTGGAAATTTGAATTTTACACTTATAAATACACATAAAATACTTTGCATTTTTTTAATCTACAGTAAACACCTCCAAGGGGAATCCAAATTTCAGCAGAAACTGGCAGAAATGAGTAAGTACTTATTTCAACCTGTGTAAATGAAAGAAACAATTGTTTACACTGCAGGAAGTCTTTTCATTATATAAAGGAATATATAATTTCTTCAGTTGGCAGGCTTGTTTATACATTTAAAATATAATTCAATTAAGATTATTTACCTACAGACATTTGTGGATTAAATGTATGATGCAAAGTGAAGGTCACTTTTACCCTTTCTATGATCTTTCATGCAGGAAGACTAAGAAGTGAAACATTGGGCCGGGCGCGGGGGCTCATGCCTGTAATCCCAGCACTTTGGGAGGCTGAGGCGGGTGGATTACCTGAGGTCAGGAGTTCGAGACCAGCCTGACCAACATGGAGAAACCCCGTATCTACTAATAATACAAAAATTAGCCAGGCGCGGTGGCGCATGCCTGCAGTCCCAGCTACCCAGGAGGCTGAGGCACGAGAATCTCTTGAACCCGGGAGGTGGAGGTTGTGGTGAGCCAAGATTGCACCATTGCACTCCAGCCTGGGCAACAAGAACGAAACTCTGTCTCAAAAAATAAAAATATAAAAAGAAGTGAAACATTGCTTGACTGTGTTCAACACAGATGACTACAGTTAGAAAATAATTTAGCAGAAATATAAAGAGGAACTATTCAGGAGTGTTAGATAGGGAAAGTTTTGATAAACCTAGCATATGTAAACATCATCACCCTTATTTAAGGAATAACCTTTGATTCTGCCATTACTGAACTTTCCTAATTTGCAAATCTTAAACAATTTCAAACAAAAGTTTCCATTACTGGAAATCAGAATTTTAATAAAGAACACTATGTTATTTTCCAAGTTATACAGAGTGATATAATGTTAGGGTAAGTGGAATTCTATTCAGAGTTACTCTGAGACTAGAAAAAAAATTAATCGAAGAATAGCAAATGGCAAGCAAATTTGGAAAGAGGTAAACGTTCACTAACTACTATTGGATTGTCTTACGTAGCTGTGGTAGTGAGTGTAACATTTCTAGTACCAGATTCATTGATAGGAAAAGGAACTAGGATTTTGAAAGAAGACAAACATGTAGAAGATAGGTAGGTGTTAAAACTATCATTCCTAAGTCACAGGACACACCAATGAGAACAATACCAATTAAAATAAAATGAGAGACTTTCTCTTAACACATCTTTATAGATACTAACTTTGAAAATAGAAGATATTTATAAGAATGCTTTTGTTTAAAAAAAAAAAAACTTTTTTTCTATGTATTTTTAAAGTGTAATTAAAACTAAATAAAACAAAATTTTCTAGTTATAAATGAATTGCTTTTTGGATTTTACATCAACTTATATATATATATATATTCCTATTTTAACTTTTAAACAGTTGTGTTGTTTCCCCTCAGTACGTGAAAATAGACAAGAGACTTATAACCAAAATCAGGCCTTGAAAACATATGGAAACATTTTAGAACCCACAAATATGCATTTTAAAAAGAGCTGAAAGCTGTAAAAACATGTATATTTTCTTAGAGAAGAGTTCAGTTGCTATAGTTAGTACATTTCCCAGCGACACACTTAGCTATGATGGCGAGCTTCCTCTGCCAGGCCAAAGTTCAGGACCTTAGTGCATATACAAAATTGTGAAAAAGTAGCCAGAATTTTAACCCTTGAGGCTAAGGCATTTCTTTCAGATGCTCTGCAGCTTTTCTTAAAGAATTACATTTAGAAAAGATCATCATACAATGCTGGGTTGCCCAGAATGAAAGGGCAAAAGAAGGACAGTTAGAGAACTATTGACTATTTTTCTTTATTTTCCAAATGTGCTTCTTTATAAAGAGCTCATGCCTACCTCTAAAATCAAGTTAAGGATTTTTAAGAAATTTAAAATAAGTATTCTGGCTTTGTCTATATTGTAATTAATAATGTGCTTTTAACATGGCCATCTCCCAGGTAGGCACAGTGGCTCATGTCTCTAATACCAGCACTTTGGGAGCGCAAAGGAGGAGGATTACTTGAGGCCAGGAGTTCAAGACCAGCCTAGGCAACATAGCAAGACCTCACCTTTACAAAAAATTTCAAAAATTAGCCAGGTGTGGTAGTATGTGCCTGTAGTCTCAGCTACTGAGGAGGCTGAGGGATTGCTTGAGCCCAGAAGGTCAAGGCTGTAGTTAGTCATGATTGTGCCATTGCACTCCAGTTTAGGCAACAGAGCAAGAGCCTATCTCAAAAAAAAAAAAAAAATGCCTAATTTAAATGAGCTATGATCTGATATATTTGCGATACCTGCAGGGCATCTCCAAACATAAGGAAAACTATAGCTTTGTAAACAATACCACCACTCACTCTGGCAGAATCATTCTGGGCCAGCTGAGTATGCTAGTCTGCTGAAGTATATGCCAAGCCTCAACCACCTCATCTCTGGAATAATAGCCTACAAAACGGGGCATACCTGGAAGTATGCAAGATCATCTTTTAGGGTACATAAAATAGAAGTTCTATTTATCTCATCTTGTTTTAATGTTTGCTGGGGGTGTGTATTTTGTAATTCATACATACGTACATATTTTTGTGGTATAGTCTTGCAAAAAAATTTACTCACAGCTATTATGATTTTTAAAAATTTGGAGACCACTGCTTTTTGGAGGCAGGGTGGGAGCAAATTTTTGTTTATTGTTTTTAAACTGATATCATAGTTATACATATTTTAGGGGTACATGTGATGTTTTAATACATGTACACAATGTGTAATTATCAAATCAGGGTTACTGGGATATCTGTTACCTCAAACATTTATCTTTTCTTTGCACTGGGACCATTACAGTTCTAGCTGCTTTGAAATATGCAATAAATTATTGTTAACTATGACTCCCTACAGTATTATCAAATACTAGAATGAAGATCACTGCTTTTGCAAGGTCCTAAGCGCCTCGATTTAACATGAACATAATATATATGGCAGCTACTTGCCACCTTACCCAGTACCATCAGTGCTGTTAACAGTCTTCATTCTTTTCCCAGCATCTACTCGAACACGGATGCAAAAGCAGAAAATGAATGACAGCATGGATACCTCAAACAAGGAAGAAAAATGAGGATCTCAGGACCTTGGTAGACACCGTGTACACCTTTGGTTTCATTGTCTCTCACGGATGTGACTGTATCACTTTCCCAGGTTCTGTTTATGGCCACATCTAATATCTTAAGCTCTTTTTGTGGATATAAAATGTGCAGATGCAATTATTTGGGTGATTCCTAAGCCACTTGAAATGTTAATCATTGTTATTTATACAAGATTGAAAATCTTGTGTAAATCCTGCCATTTAAAAAGTTGTAGCAAACTGTTTCTACTTCCAAAGTAAAATTGCTCTGCTTTATGGATAGTAAGGATGGCCCCAGAGTGGGAGTCCTGATACCCCATGCCTGTCTGACTACTTTGCCTTCTTTTGTAGCATATAGGTGATGTTTGCTCTTGTTTTTATTAATTTATATGTCTATTTTTTTAATTTAACATGAACACCCTTAGAAAATATGTCCTATCTATCTTCCAAATGCAATTTGATTGACTGCCCATTCACCCAAATTATCCTGAACTCTTATGCTAAAATGGATTTTATTAGAAATTAGAAAAAAATTACTAATTTTGCATAATAGATTTTATTTTACTATTGGAATCTGATATACTGTGTGCTTGTTTTATAAATTTTTGCTTTTAAATAAAAGCTGGAACAAAGTATAAACATGATACTATCATACTACTGACACAGATTTCATACCTCAGAACCTAAAAGAACTTATTCTTTTCTTCATCCAACTTATATTTTTAAATGAAGATTATTGATAGTACCCTTGGTTTTTATACCATTCAGATCACTGAATTTATAAAGTACCCATCTAGTACTTCAAAAAGTGAAGTGTTCTGCCAGCTCTTAGGTGTAGAGGACCCTAACACAGTATATCCCAAGTGCACTTTCTAATGTTTCTGGGTCCTGAAGAATTAAGATACAAATTAATTTTACTCCATAAACAGACTGTTAACTATAGGAGCCTTAATTTTTTTTGCATAGAGATTTGTCTAATTGCATCTCGAAAATTATTCTGCCCTCCTAAATTTGGGAAGGTTTGTGTTTTCTCTGGAATGATACATGTCTTCCATGTATCTTTTGAACTGGCAATTGTCTATTTTATCTTTTATTTTTTTTTAAGTCAGTATGGTCTAACACTGGCATGTTCAAAGCCACATTATTTCTAGTCCAAAATTACAAGTAATCAAGAGTCATTATGGGTTAGGCATTAATGTTTCTATCTGATTTTGTGCAAAAGCTTCAAATTAAAACAGCTGCATTAGAAAAAGAGGCGCTTCTCCCCTCCCCTACACCTAAAGGTATATTTAAACTATCTTGTGTGATTAACTTATTTAGAGATGGTGTAACTTAAAGTAGGTGATATTTAAGGTAGCTTCAGCTAGCTTTTAGGAAAATCACTTTGTCTAACTCAGAATTCTTTTTAAAAAGAAATCTGGTCTTGTTAGAAAGCAAAATTTTATTTTCTGCTCAATTAAGTTTCAAACTTACTATTTTGACAGTTATCTTGATAACAGTGGCACTAGAAAACTTTACTCCATTTCATCATTAATTTCTGCATGAATATTATACAAATCAGTTAGTTTTTAGGTCAAGGGCTTACTATTTCTGGGTCTTTTGCTACTAAGTTCACATTAGAATTAGTGCCAGAATTTTAGGAACTTCAGAGATCATGTATTGAGATTTCCTAAATAATGCTTCAGATATTATTGCTTTATTGCTTTTTTGTATCGGTTAAAACTATACATTTAAAATTGCTATGTTACTATTTTCTATAATTAATAGTTTGTCTATTTTAAAATAAATTAGTTATTAAGCGTCTGAATGGTCTGATGTTATGTTCTTTGTATTAAGTACGCAAATGCTCCTCTTCTAGGAGAAGATAGATAGGCGATAACTCTCCTAGTATATCATCCATTCTTAGCCTTTAAGGGGCTCTATATGCTAGTGATTTCCAAATTTATTTTTTCAGCCCTGATCTTTTCACAGAGGACAAGGTTCTTATAGCCAACAGAACTCTTGATTCCTATTCCCCTCTACCCAGTTTCTCAAAATACAAACTAAAATCAAATAAAAATCTCTTTTTCCTACCCTGGTCTTTCTCCATTTTATTAAACACTTATCAAGTCAAAAACTTAAGAGCTATCTGTTTATTCTTGTCTGGACCACTGCTAAAGACTTCTAACTTCCTGTTCCCTTTCTTTACTGTCAAACTCCTTAAAGAACAAAAATGTTTCTTTAAAAATGTAAATTGATTCACATTGCTCCTCTACTTGAAGTACTTATCAGGAATTATAAAGCCCATACTGACTTCCCATTCTCATCTTGTAGAATTTTCTCCTTGTCACTGTGCTTTAGCCGCACTGACTTTTTTCTTTAAAATGCCAAGGCTATTCCTACCTTAAGCTCTTATATTTCTTCTTCCTTCTTCCTGGAATGCTCTTTTCCCACAGTGTTGCATAGCCAGTTCCTTTCTGTCTTCAGAGGTCAGCTCAGAGGGCTTCCTTGACAACCAAGCTGAAATCATCACTTTGTATTTTATCATTCTCCTTCAAAAGTGTAACAGCATCCATCTATCGCACTTTCCCACCATCTGAAATTGCCTCTGTCGTTACCTGTCTCCCCATCCCTAGCCATTCCCCACCCTAGATTGTAAGCATCCACCTAGCTATTCTTACTTACCACTTTAGGTTTTAAGCTATTCTTACTTACCACTTTAGGTTTTTCCATATTTTTCCAAGTATGTGAAAACAAACAACATTCTCTTCCTCTTTTAAAATGCCATGTACTAGTGCCTACCATATTCCAGTCACAGTTCTAAATGCTAGATATATAACAATGAATAAAAAAAAACTAAAATCCCCATCCTTGCAGAACTGACTTTCTAGTTGCAGGCAAAGAGAGCACACGAATGAATAGATGAGGACTATATAGTATGTGACATTCCATTAAAGACTGTGGAGAAAAAGCAAAGATGAGGGCAAGGAAGGCTGGTAAGGAAAGGAGTTTTAACACTTAAAAGAGAGTAGTCAGGGAAAGACTCCAGTGATATTTGCGCAGAGAGCTGAAGGAGATGAGAGTGAGCCAGACACAACAGGAGTCAAACATTCCACAGAGAGAGAGGCAGGAATATGGCTGGTGTGTCTGAAGAACAATTAGGAGGTCATAGAAAAATGGGCAGCACATATCTTTCTTCGTTAATGCAAAGTATAAAAGGCCTTTATATATATTACAAGTCTATAATCCTTTATCTGTAGTTCCAAAATTGAAGAAAGCTTTAAGTCAAGTGATTCTGTGTGTTTTGTGCCAAAAGTCATATGGGCTCAAAACCATACGTAAACTGGCACAGAGCTATTTATAATCTTTATCGTACTTGGAATATTCTCATTTCACTGCAGAAATATTAGTATGTTTGATTGGGAGCTAACCCAGACCTTAATTAGGTGTTATGTATTATTTGGCATATGTACCATATTATTCTAATCATTCTAAACTCCCCCCAGATTATGAAACCCCTCTGGCACCAAGGGTTTCAGACAAGGGATTATCTTAAATTTATATGATTTCTCAAAAACATGGCAGATGAAATTCTTTCCTTCTGGAACAGCGACATGTTTGTTCCTGAAGGAAGAAAGACAAAGTGCGCAGAGCAGGAAAAGCAGCAAGCATATCTCAATAGGCTGTATTTCTATTGGGCGGGGATCTTAAATGCAGTATGCACTCTCTTAGGTCATGTCAAAATCAAGCAGCCTAACATACACTAAACATTTTTCAGTTTGGATGGTAGAGAATTGCTCACTTCTAGAGATGAATTTAGTGTTCCAATGATTAAACACTCACTATAATAAAAGGAGCAAGTTCAAATTAATATATTTATTTACTTTTTTTTTTTTTTTTGAGGCAGAGTTTTGGTTTTGTTGCCCAGGATGGAGTGCAATAGCACGACCTCAGCTTACTGCAACCTCCCCTTCCTGGGCTCAAGCGATTCTCTTGCCTCAGCCTCACAAGTAGCTGAGATTATAGCTACACACCACTACACTCAGCTATTTTTTGTATTTTTAATAGAGTTTGACCATGTTGACCTGGCTGGTCTCAAACTCCTAACCTCAGGTGATCTACTCGCCTCAGCCTCTCAAAGTGATGGGATTACACAAGTGAGTCACCACACCGGTCTATTTACTTTTTTATTACAGTTTTCTAAAGGTACAAATGGCCGGGAGGAAACCAATTATACTAGTTCTATTATCATCTGGATGATTTCACAGAAACTTGCTTTTAGAAGTATATTTTCATTTCTCATTTTAGGGCCAATATAGTATACAGAGAGTTTCAATAGATTTTCTTGTGGACCAGATATCTTACAGGACAACTCAAACCTTGCTTCTAAGAAATATTAAATTTCCACCATAGGTATAGCTTCTTAAATAGAAATATATTATGGTAGCACTGTATAATGTCTACATGAAAGTAAAACAGCTCTTTTAATGGACAGTGGGCATAGTCATCCACTCTCGATACATTTTGTGTGTGTGTCTCCATTATCTTCGGACTATATTAGTATTGACATATGACAACCGTCACATTAAACAATGACAATATGAAAGGCTAAATTTATTGCACAGACCAACCTCAGTTACTTCCTAAATACAAAATGTTGATTTTTAACTTAATTTACTGAGGAAATTGGTAAGCTTTGTGTTTCTGTTTTGACAAAGATTGAATTAAAAATAACAGTAAAATTTTATTTTTTCCTTTCTCTTCACAATTCTCCCAACTCGGGAGGGCATAATCAAATAGATTATATAATTTATAGTTGCATCTTTTCATTATTCCTGGTTAATAATCCAGCCTCTAAATAAAACTCTCCATGTTAAGATCTAGAATGACTGGCAATTTACATGAACTATAACCTGAAGAACATACTTAACATTCTTAACCTTTGTTTTTAAAATGAATTCAGTGGGATCTTCACAAACCTCCATCAGCAGATGAGAGCACTTCTTCATACCTATAAAATCATAACCTTTCTTAAGTTAGGGGACAATTATTTTAGAAGCTCTAAAACATTGACTTCCTTATGGGATCAAGAGTAGAAACAAAACTTTTGGGAAAATCTAAGATAAACTAGTGCAAAAAAAAAGGATCCATTAATTTCAGATATAGTGTCCTTATGAAAATGTTTTCTCTCACATATCACTAAGGGTCTTCAAACACTCTTCTGATAGAAGGAAATTTTAAAAAGGGAATGTTTTTCCTTTCCGTAGGAGTGTCAATGGCAAGCCTATCCTCAAAGACCAGAAAGCAAGCTTGTTTTTTCAGATGGATGTACCTACACCCAGGACTCATCTGTCATCCCTCAGATCTAAAACTAGCTCTTCTTTATTGTTTGGAGTCAGAAGTTTTAAGGGCTGAACCACTCATTCTCATCCTTGGCTGAACATGAAATCACTTGTGGAGCTTTTAAAATGTACTGAATTTGGGCCGGGCATTGTGGCTCATGCCTGTAATCCCAGCATTTTGGGAGGCCAAGGCGGGTGATTCACCAGAGGTCAGGAGATTGAGACCAGCCTGACCAGTATGGTGAAAACCTGTCTCTACTAAAAATACAAAAATTACCTGGACGTGTTGGCATGTGACTGTAGTCTCAGCTACTTGCAAGGCTGAGACAGGAGAATCACTTGAACCTGGGAGGCAGAGGTTGCAGTGAGCTGAGATTGTGCCATTGTACTCCAGCCTGGGCAACAGAGCAAGACTGCATCTCAAAAAAAAAAAAAGTACTGAATTTGGGCCGGGCATGGTGGTTCATGCCTGTAATCCCAGAACTTTGAGAGTCTGAGGTGGGCAGATTGTGTGAATCCAGGAGTTTGAGACCAGCCTTGGCAATATGGTGAAACCCCATCTTTAGAAAAAAAAAAAAAAAAAGCCGAGCTTGCTGGCACATGTGCCTGTAGTGCCAGCTACTTGGGAGGCTGAGGTTGGAGAATTACCTGAGCCTGGGAGGTGGAGGTAGCAGTGAGCCAAGATTGCACCACTGCACACCAGCCTGGGCAACAGAGCAAGATCTTGTCTCAAAAAAAAAAAAATTATTATATATGTATCTCACACATACAGACACACTGAATTAGAATCCTCAAATCTGTATTCTATGAAAGTCCTGTAGATTGACCAGGTGTGGTGGCTCACACCTGTAATCTCAGCACTTTGGGAGGCCAAGGCAAGCAGATCACTCCAGGTCAGGAGTTCGAGACCAGCCTGGGCAACACAGCAAAACCCTGTCTCTACTAAAAATACAGAAATTAGCCAGGTGTGGTGGTGGTGGGCACCTGTAATCCCAGCTACTTGGAAGGCTGAGGCAGAAGAATTGCTTGAACCCAGGAGGCAGAGGTTGCAGTGGGCTAAGATGGTGCCACTGCACTCCAGCCTGCTGGGTGACAGAACAAGACTTTGTCAAAGAAAAAAAAAGGCCCATAGATTGTTCTGTGTGTACAGAGATAAGAAGCATGCAAACCTACACAAAACAAAGCTTAGGGAGAAAAATGGGATAAGAGTCCAGAGTAACAACTTGTACTCTGGCAGTATGCCTACTGACCCATGGTGGAGTGTGTAAAGGGCAGTCGATTTTTCATCCCCAAGTAAGCCTATCTGTTCCCCTTTGAGTGTTCCAATTTTTATATGAAATGATTTCACAAAAGAAAAAGGTACTGAGGAGCTTGAGAAGACCCTGTCAAAAATAGGCAAGAAAAAGGAAGACATTGTGAAGCCATGAAAGCCTAGTCAGCTATAACTAGCACAGGAAGGTGAGGGAGAAAGACCAAAAAAACAAAGATGGTGGTTGTCTTAACTGCCACAACTGATGTGATAGGTACTTCCCACGTCTGAGTGTTTCTCTGTTGGATAAAATAGCAAACTTACCAAAAAAATGAAAACAAATGGTATGAGGCTACTTTCAAAATAAGAGAATAAAAGTATATAGTTTTAAAAATAAGATTCTGATTTAGATCTAGAGACATTCAGACTCTTTTCCTCTAAAGTTTGCAGGAAAATGGTTAAGCAATCTGTCAAAGAGAAACTTTGTCTTTTAATTCAGTCCCAAGAGAACCAGAACTCACTCACTCTTGCTGGTGTTCATTAATCTATTCATGATGGATCTGCACCAAGGACCCAAACACTTCCTACTAGGCCCTACCTCCCAACACCACCACGTTGGGGATCAAATTTCAGTATGAGTTTTGGCAAGGACAAACCACATCCAAATCATAGTAGAAATAATGTATTCAAAATGTGACCCGACGAAGAGAATGAAAAGGCAAGCCACAAACTGGGAGAAAAATTATTTGCAAAAGATATATCTGATAAAGTACTGTTATCCAAAATATACAATGAACTCAAAACAGTTTAAAAAAAGATTTAAAAATTGGCACCGATCTGAACAGACACCTCATCGAAGAAGATATGCAGATAGCAAAATAAGCACATGAAAAAATACTCCACATCATATGTTACCAGGGAAATGCAACTTAACAATGAGATAGCACTGTACACGTATTAGAATGGCCCAAATCTGGAACACTGACAGCACATAATGCTGGTGAGGATGTGGAGTAACATGAATTCTTACTCATTGCTCAAGGAAATGAAAAATGGTACAGCCACTTTGAATTACAGTTTGTTTCTTAAAAAAAAAAAAATCCCCCCAAACAGCAAAACATTTAACATGTAATCCAGTAATCATGCTCCTTGGTGTTTACCCAAAGGAGTTGAAAACTTATGTCCACAGAAAAACCTGTACACAGATGTTTATAGTAGCTTTATTTGTAATTGCCAAAACTTGGAAGCAACCAATATGTCCTTGAGAAGGTGAATGGATAAACTGGTACATCTGGGCAATGGAGTATTTATTCAGCACTAAAAAGAAATGAGCTATCAAGCCAAGTTGTGGAAACTTAAATGCATATTATTAACTGAAAGAAGCCAATCCAAAAAGTTACATACTATATGATTCCAACGATACGAGATTCTGGAAAAGGTAAAAATTATGGAGACAGTAAAAAGATCCGTGGCTACCAGAAGTTAGTGGGAAAGGAGGAAGGGATGAATAAGCAGAGCTCAGAGGATTTTTAGGGCAGTGAAACTACTCAGTATGATACAGTAGTGAGGGACACAGGTCATTATACATTTGTCAAAGCACACAGAATGTGCACCACCAATGATGGACCCTAATATAAACTATGGCCTGTGGGTGATAATGATATATCCAAGTAGGTTCAACCACTCTGGTGGGGGATGTTGATGGCGGAGAAGGCTGTGCATGTGTAAGGGCAGGGGGCATAAGGGAAAACTATTTTCTTCACAATTTTGCTGTAAACCTAAAACTGCTCTATAAAAATAGTCTTCAAAAAAGTCACCTCACCAATAAAGAGCAGGCAAAGGCAGTAAAATGAATAATAATTAGGTTGTTTATAATCTATTTGTGTTCCAGGTGGGTTTTACTATGAGACTTTATCTGAATGTCCTACTGATTTATGTACATCTAAAAAGACATGAGGTTGATAATTTTTCAATTTGGCTGCTGCTTTGGGATTAAAAAAAAAAAAAACCCAACACATTTCTTCTGTTATCTGCAAATAAGCACTTTATTATCAAATAGTTCGGCATCAGAACAAGAATTAATTCCAAAAGGGTTTTCTTTACATGATATTGTGAGATACACAATAGAAGAATCTGACACTGTGTTCCATTCCAGTTTCTCTTTTGCAATTAGGTGATTTGTTTTGATCTAAAAAGTGTAAGTTTATCTCATTCTTGTTAATGCTGTCCATGAAATGTAATTATCAGTTCCTTTTCAGCTAGTACTTTATAGTTATACTGGTGCCAGCTTAAGAGACCTATTTCATAGTGACAGGAAAGTCAGCTATAAGAAAAACACATTGTCATTATCATTTAGAGGCAAATCCCTCTTAACACAAAGAAAAGCAAAGGACCTTATGTGATTATGTAAGGCAGATCAGCCCAGGAATTTCATTCAGAGATAATACTTCAGACTCCATAATCCCATGTGAGAAATTAATGAATGACTCCAAGTAAATAAAAAATTAAAATTAGCCCTTGGGCCTCTGACAATTTAATTGCCAAGGCCTTTTGTGAATTCCAAATAATGCTCTAAATTAGCTACAATTTCTCAGAATGACATACCAGAAGAATATGAACCTCAATAATTACAGGCTGTTTTAAGTTTATTTTGTGCAAGTTATTCCTTCCCCCAGTATTCCACCACAAAAGTTGTTCTCAGGACATACTGAAGATTTATAATAAATTCAGTGCCTACTATATGCAAGGCACTGTGCTGAATGCTGAAAATGTGGTGAGGACAGCACTCCTTATCAAGCTATGTATGTGGTATTAGCCAGCTGAATAATGGAACATTTGGGCCAGAATAGCGTATACTGAGACCAGGGTACCAAAGGTGTCCAACATAAGTGACTCAAAAGAGGAAATTGTAAATAAGACTATTTCAATTTTTTTTCCTTGAACTTAGTCACATCTGATCAGAACATTGAATGCTTTCTACATACACTCTGGATTTAGGCAGGTGAAGACCACTCACCAACATCGTTCTTTTGACAGATACAAGTACTCAGCCAAATGTGGCTCATGATACATACTATTAATTAAAGGGAAGTGATTCATCTCTGGCTTTTGTAGGGGAAATGGAAAGGCTCAAAAACTCCTTTCTTGCAGATGGGATCAATTTTTAAAGGCTCCAACTCTGCTTGCTTTGCTGATAAAGTTCTTCAGGAGATCATGGTCCATTTCTGCAAAACCTGAAGTTTGTGTTACTACAGTCAGATGGTTTATGCAAAACCTGAAGCAGAATTCTTCTAAATCCTAGGAACGACAACACAGATGGCTTAATAAATTCACATTTCCTAATTCAATGCAACACAGCATGAAAATTGCTAAAACAAGTTAGGCAAGGAAAAAGGATTTGATAGCCAAGTGGAGGAAATGATAGTATGGCAATACCTAAAGAATAGTCATAAAAAGTGTAACACATATGAATCATCTATGCTTGTAAAAATTTAAATAGCAGAGTAACATTCAAGTTCCTCCAAACTAACCCAGGCAAAGAATCTGACTTTTTCTTCCCAGAAATAAGCAAGTGAGTGTACAAATTCTTTGGTACCTCTGTCTAGTGACAGTATTTATAACTGTTGGTTCCACTTTCAATATTTGTCAAAAGCCCTATAACTCCTCTTTTATATTTACATCAGGGTCTTTACGTGTATCTGCCTATAAAGAATTGGTGGAAGAAAAAGGTAAGCCATAAAAAGCAGTAATGCTGGGAAACTGCTGCTCTGAAGTCATTAACAGGCCACTGGTTTTTCCCTTTATGAGACGACACCAGATGGGATGGATGGATTTGATCACACTACATATGCCTTCAATAATCTCAACTGGGAAAATGCTTTAAAGAAATCATGACTTCCAAGGTTCTGGTAAGAGAGACCTGACAGATTAGTGTTTTCTGGCTTACTGTAATGCACTCTGGGCCAAAGATTAAGCTGTAGTAAGTCTCTTGATTAGAACTATAACTTGAGAATCAGAATGAGGCTGACCAGATGCTTTTTGACCCAGAAGAAGTGAGGCCAGGCTGCTGAGACCTCCGATATGCCTCAAACCCTAGGTTACTTGGCCCAGGACAAAATGCCACTCAGTGGTGGTCAATTTTTAAGTTTCCTCTCCAAGCTACTGCAGTTAATTTATAAAAAAATTAAAAAAAGAAAACTCTAAATACTTTTTAGGCAATTACATAGGCATATTACACATGACAGCCTTTTCTTCTATATTATAACAAATGGAAAAAATAGAAAAAATAGCAATGCTGATAGCCTTCCCAATGTACATATAAACCTACAGTACATTTTCTTTTAAGAAAAGAAAGAAACTATACTAGGAAAATGTTTATTTCATGCCTGGGCATAACTGAGCAGGCTGCTGTGCCACACCAGCAATATGATGTGTCTCTGTCCCAGGTAGGCCCTCAGTGATAAACAGGGAAATTCACACACCCACTTGTTATCACAGCACACTATACATAAAAATGTGCTTCACTGATACATGCTGACTATCCCAGGATCCATTTAAAATTATGTGCTGTTGGTTAAATTTTTAGAAATGACATTTTTGCCTATAGCCTATGAAAGTGAAACCAGATAAAGATGCATCATCTCTTTGGCTGAGCTCTACAGAGGGGAATGGAGAAATTCATACCTACACGACACACAGAGTGTGTTTGGAGTTAGGTGGCAGGGCAGTTTTACACCTCACAGATCTCAACAGCAGCAGGAAAATTGCTAATTAATGGGAGTATGAAAGGACCCTAAAAAGTTATCACTTGGATCCATGCTCCTTTACTTTTCTAGAATGGGATTTTCCCCTAAATATTAAATATGGACAGGACTTTGAAAGAGTTCCTGTGATTCTAAGAATTCAATAAATTGGCATAGGGTGGTAATGGTTATCAGGGAATTCTTTCCATATAAAACAAGACCCTCATTATTGTTCAGTTAAAGAATGTAGCCTATTTTGAATGCTACCGCTCTATACAGCTTCATGTTCAAAACGGGGACCTTTATTCTGTCCTGCAATCCAACCACATTCTCCTGGTTTGCCCATTCTCCTACAGGACTCTCATACTTCTCCCCATAAGCCTGACATCTCCCCTCTCATCCTCATCCTTAGCTAACATGACTTCCTATTTCACTGAGAATCAGAATCACTTGAAAAGAACCTCCACAAGCCTGTCCTACCACATCTCCTCGCCTAATACAGAGAGGCCTGTGGACACTATGTTCTCTGGATCAATGGTCCAACACCCTATATAAAGCAGGGCCCCTCGCTCTGTCACTGGATCCCACTGTTCCACCTATTCGAGGGCCGTGTTCTAACAACTCTCCACTGCATCACCAGCTTGTTCCGCTCCACTGAGTGATCTGCACGATTAGACAACTTCCACCTCCTACATCTTAAAAAATCAAATGTCTCCAAACCTCTTCCTCTTTTTAATCTTCATAATAAAATTCCCACAAAAAGCTGCCTCTATTCCCCACCTTCAATTCTTCTTACTTCCACGCTCCAATCAGACCTCCCGCCTCACTACACTAAAGTTGCTTGCCAAGGCCCCCTAGGCATTCTCACTGCCAGACCCCACTCGTCAGTTCTCAGCTCTCCTGCAGACCCGCCAGCAGCATCTGGTGTGGTTTGGACTTCTTCCTTCCTGTTTCGCTTTCTTTCCCAGCTTCCAGGACGTGGTCTGCTGGTTTCTCTCTTCCTTTACTGTTCAATCCTCTTCAGTCTCCTTTGCTGATGTCTCCTTATCTCCTCAACCTCCAAACACAGAGTGCCCAGGACTTAAACCTGTCACGTCACTGCCTCACAGCTTTGACTTCAGTACATTTCTCTCTGACTTCCAGGCTTGCTTATCCAATTTGCCTATTAAACATTTCCATTTGGATGTCTAACAGACATCACATACTTCTCATATTCAAAACCAAATTCCTGAGATTTCCCCCAAAATGTTGCTTCTATCTTCTCTATCTCAATAAATGCCAATTTCATCCTTACGGTTGCTGAGGCCCAGAACCTCCTAAGTCTTCTGTTTGCTTTCCTCACATCCAATCCATCAGCACATCCTGTCGGCTCTACTTCCAAAATGTATTCAAAATCTAATCACTTTTTCCATCCCCACAGGTGATAACTTGGACCAATCCACCATCATCACTTACTGGATAATACAGTCTCCTAAGTACCCTCTTTCACACACACACACACACACACACACTTCCCAACTGGATTATACAGCCTCCTAAGTACCTTCCTTCCGCTACACACACACACACACACACACACACACACACACACACACACACATCTCTTCTCAACACAGCAGCCAGGAGGATTACTTTCAAATGTCCATCAGATCACGTCTGCTCCTCTCCAAACCCTGTGATGGCCACTCCCCTTGGAACTCAGATTTCTGAAACCTGCATGTGCGCTCTGTGGGCCCTGTCTCCTCCCTCACATGCCACGATGCACCTCCATTACACCATCCCCCTGCCTCATCAGCTACTTCCCTTCCCACTGTGCCATCCACACTAGTCTTGTTTTTCCCCAAACACACCACCCACACCTCCTTCAAGTCTCTGCTCCAGTCACCTGCTCAGTGATGTCTTGCCTCCCTCACTACTCTATTTAAAATTTCCACTTTATCTCCGCACGGCATTCCCTAGGCTGGCTTCCCCGGCTTACTTCTTTCCATATCACTTGTCACCATCTGACATACTTACATATCCTACTCATTTATTTATCACTCTCTCCCCTCACCAGAAACTTCCACAGGGGCAGAGACTTTGGTCTGTTTTGTTCATTTGCAGTACCCCAGTGCTTAGGGCAGTGCCAGGCCTGTCACAGGCACTCAGTGAATATTTGTTGAATCCATGCATAAATACTCCTGATTTCAAAATACTGAGGACAATGGAGAATTGTAGTTAAGCATGTGGTTTTAAAATGTGCCCAATCTTGGACTGCATTCCAGTTTTGCAATTTACTAGTTTACTGAGATTACTTAATCTCCCCAAGCTTCAGTTTCTTCATTTATAAATTGGATCTAATATAATAATGCCAATGTCTTATAAAGTTGTTTTGAGGCATAAATGCAACATGAACTGTGCTTAGAATAAACCCTGGCTCATATTAATTTTGTACTAAGTGGCAGTCCAGCATGAGGGATAGTAATTTGCTGAAAGACCTCATTTCTTGCTTATTTGAGGCGGGCAGATCAAATACAGCACTGTCCTTTATTTACGAAAGCTTGTGTTTTACATTAAGTACATATACAGTATGTTTTACTGGTAGTCTATCATACTAATTTAGGGCACAGCAATTAGCTGGACAGGCTGTAGTAAAACAGTGGGCCTCTATAGGCAATGCTGAATATCCATTACAGGAGTATTTAATGAGTCAGATGCCATCTTAGGCACTGGGGATATGGTTGTGAGTAAAGCGAAGTGCCTGCCATGCCTCAAAGAGCTTACTTTCTAGAAAAACCAAGAGCTGGAAGGTAGCCAGACAAATAATTCCCATAAATAGAGAATATGAAAAAGTATTAAAAAGGAAGCCTGATTCAGATGCAAACACCATGTGCCACCACCTTGACACCAGAGATGGCCCTCCATCACCATGGCTCATCACCATGACTCTAAAGCACAGACTAGGAAAAGTGAATGGATTTTGTTTGAGCATGAAACATGGGGTGTTGTAAGTGCCCAATATATTATTGCCTTGATATAAAACAAACATTAACTGTGCTTTTAAATGTCAATGTTTTGAGGTAGTAGTTTTTTTTAAATGTTAAGTGAAAAAAAATAACCTAGACTTTAAATGTATTCACAAATACATAATGTGATACAAAACAAAAACTCAGAAGCTGTTATATAAAAATGCTAATTGTTCTCTGGTTGATAAGTCATCACCCTCATACTTTGTGTCTTTTATATATTTTCTTTAATAAGCATAATATTATTTACATAAACAGAAAAAAAGTTATAACCTTTTATCTACTAAAATGTCTCTGTCTTTTGACGAAAGGAGAGGATATCCTTCTACCAAAAGGAAACTGACTCCAAGAAGTTATGGCCTGTTTCCTAAAGATTTGGTTCTAAGATCACTTTTCTTTCCTTTCTTTATTATCGTAACAATACATGGTCACTGTAAAAGTTCAAAAAAATAAGCAAAGAGAAGGAAATAAAAATCCTCCATAATCCCACCATTCAAAGATAACCACTAACCACAGTCTTCAGTCTTTTTTTCTATGTAGATAATGAATTTTAGTTTTTTACTCAGCTATTTATACTTTTGTAAAAAAAAAAAACAGGATCATAGTTTTTCACTTAGTGATATATCTTGAATAGCTGCATGATTTCTTGGTATTAACATTTTATAAACAAGCCTCCCCTATTCACACTAACCTTTCACTAATTTTTCAAAATTATAAATTGATGCAGTAAATACCTTTGAACTGAGACTTTGTCCAAATCCATGATTACTTCCTCAAGGTAAATACTTATGAGTGAATTCTTAAATAATCATGTCTTTAATGTAAGGCATTTAATACATATTATACCAGTTGTTCTCCATACCAGTTTGTACTCTCCCCAGCAGTTTAGGAGAATACCATTATTCTGATCCTATATATTATCTCTAAAAATATACTCCTGCTTTGAGTTATACCTTGTTTCATTTATGTTTTTTGTCTGTTCATAGAATCATTTGTTCTTTGGTCCATTTCTTTCAACCAAACTGTTCATATTCTCTTTTTTGTAATTTACTCTGGTAAACAGGCTTCATTATATTTTGCAAATATTTTTCCCAGAGTCCTATTACTTTCAAATTTTCTCCATGGTATTTTTAGGTGGATAAAAGGTTTCCTATCTTTTGAAACCAGAGCTATAAATCCTTTCCTTTATAGCTTCTGCCTTTGATGTCTACCCCAAGGTTATAGAAATACTCGCTTATATGTGTCTAGTACTCTGGTTACTTCATATTTTCTTTAACGTTAAATCTTTACTCAGACTTTGTTTTAGTTTGAGGTATGAGGCAGACACCGGGCTTCAGTTTCTCCAGGAAGCTGGCAGCTGGAAGCAAGCTTTCCTTACCTGGGCGTCATACTTTACTGCAGCCGAGAGCAGAGCGATGGCATTCTCCTCGCAGATGCCTTGCTTGATAGTTTGTTGGCAGAGCTTTTTCAAACGATTTTCTCTATAAAATGTCGCCAAGTCTAGCAGTCCTGGTGGAAAGAAGTGTTTATTACAGGGAGTAATTTTGAGCATCCTGATTTAAACTCGCTCACTCAGCCACTCACAGATGATTTTGACACTATTTTGGATGTAATCCTCAGTGAAGCACTGCACAAATAGACTGATGCTGACCAACACTTACACTTCAGTGTGCAGCTCTACCCAGGACGGCAGCCAAGCTGAGCAAATATGATACACAAATGATTAGTGGTTAAAAAACAGGAGCAGAGATTTAATATTTTATTTTTAATATTTTTTCCTAGAAAAAAAAGGCAAGTGCTCCTCAAGTGACCCCTTCCCCTGAAATCTCAATGTCGGCTTCTCCTGGGCCATTCCCAGGAGCACACACACATATGCTATGAGTGTCCACCATAAAAAAAAGGAAAGAAAAGAAAGAAAGAAAAAGATAAGGAAAGGAAACCCTTTCATGGATATGCGTCTGCTTCCTGTTACCCTAGCCCATTTCTCTGATCCTCTCTACAGCAAAACTCCTAGACAGAGCTGTCTGTATTTGCTGTCTCCATTTTCCCACCTCCCATTCAGATCTCAAGCCATTCAAAGCAGAACCCCATCCCCATCACTACTGCAGTCACACCTGTGGCAGTCACACCTGTGGCAGTCGCACCTGTGGCGGTCACAATGGCTTCCAGGGTGCCATATTCTCTGGTTTCCTCCTACTCGACATTGGCACAGAATTTGATATGGTTGATAATACTCTCCTTAGGACACTTTGTCACTTGCTTGCATTTTTCTTCTCTTCAATTAGTCGCTCCTCAGTTCTCCTGGCTGGACCATATTTCCTGACTTCCAAATGTTTGAGTGCCCCAGGGTTAAATCCTCAGATACTTTTCTCACTTACTTCCCAGAACTCCAGCCCCAGGGTTTTAAAGATCATCTATATATGCAGGTGAGTCCTATTATATTACCTATCACCTATTTTCAAGTAATTCAATGTAGACTGGGTGAAGTGACATATGTAAATTAATTTTAATTAACCTCAAGGAATGATAGGAAATACTCTGAAGCAGTCAACTAGCATCTGAAAGATCCTATTAGTTTTTCTGAATCGTCATTGGAAGATTTGTAATTAGCATTAAGAATGTCAGAATTAGTTTGTCATTGGTGAAATGAGTGGCAGCCAGGATCAAAGGTTAGCTGAATCCGGCTACTAGAATATTGTCATGTGCACCTCAAGCTAGGTACTTAACAGAGTGCATAAAGGACAGAGAGCTGAGATTTCAGCATATTAATTAATTACCATATTAATTGTTTTTGTGTCTATCTGCTAATAAATCTTGTACATGTGGTAGAATTTGGTTGGAAACTTGCTTTTTAGTGTAAGAAATATTATCAAAGTTATGGGGGAAAGACAGATAGCCCATTGGAGGACACTGAAATCTTCTGAAATCTTGAGAGTTGTGAATGGCTTCATTGTTTTTGGCCCCAAGCTTCAGACTCACACAAGCCAACAGCATTGTCCTAAGAGAGGAGGACTCTGCCCCAAATCCCAGCTCCGCGCCTCCTCCACACACACCCTCAGCACAGGGTGGCCAAGGAGACACATGCCCACTTCTAGATCGCACTTTGGGTACCTGGGAACCTGGTACTGCCTGCATAATTAGCCCTGAGGCCATATGAGTGGGTATTTCCTCCCTTAGAGCCCACCACCAATGTGCAGACCCCCTGTCCCAAAAGGGTAACCTTGTTGGGGGTGGGTAGAGCTTGGACATGCAAGCTAGAGTACCCACACACCCTTCTGCTGGAGGAGGGGTCTATCTTGCCTGTGCCACTGGGCTCTGGCACATAACTCCAGGGGTCCTGCAACTGTAAATGCCAACTAAAACTGAAATGTGTTCTTTCAGTTCTTAATGAAATTAACATTTTTCAAGATGGCAGGATTGAACATATTTTATCCGAAGTTCATGAGCTTGACATATAACTTTAAATTTTTCTCTATGTATTTTTAGGTGGATAAAAGTTTCTTATCTTTTGAAATCAGAGCTGTAAATCCTTTCCTTAATGGCTTCTGCCTTTGATGTCCACCCCAAGTTATAGAAATACTCGCTTATATGTTGTCTAGTACTCTGGTTACTTCGTTTTTTTTAAACCTTAACTCTTTTCTCTACTCTGACTTTATTTTAGTTTAGGATATGAGGCAGATACCTCGCTCCAGGTGGAGCCCACCTGAAAACAATGAAGCCATATGGACATAGGTCTCCATGTAGAGTCCTGGCCAGAGCCCTGCAAATTTTAGGGGTGGGCCTATAAAAAATTGCCGCTTGGGTATCTAATGGGCAGCTGAAACTCCTTTGACTTTTAAAGTCAAAAGCAAGCCTGTTCTCCATCTTCATCACCTTAGCGAACAGGACTTCCATTAAGAAGCTACCCAGGCCAAGCACCTCAACACCAAGCTGTCCTTCTCTCTCAACTCACACCTCTCATCCCATCCATCAACAAATCCCATCAGCAACATCTTTAAAATATATCTATAATCTAATCTCTTTTCAACACTTCCACTGCTACACAACCCCAACCCAGGAGTCCATCATTTCACATCTGAACCAATATAATAACTGATCTTTTAAACACAAATCATATCTCTCCTGTGGCAGAAGCTGCTAGCTGCCTCTCCCATGACTCCTACCCCAACACACACACACACACACACACACACACACACACACACACACACACACATCCATTCTTCCTTTCTTCTGAAACCATATAATTTTTAGCTGACCTATGGCCATCTGGAAATGCCCACTTTCCCAGCCTCCTAAGTTGCTGGACACAGACTTCATTGACTCAGTCCATGGTCTGAAATAAATGGAATTCCCAGGCCCCTCCTGGTAGAGACACTGGGATTTGCTGTGTGCCCCTTGGTCTCTGTTCCTTCCTCCATGCTGCTGCCCACAATGCTCCACAGTGGTGATGACTTGGTACCTCTGTCTCTTATCTGTCCAGTCAGCCTTTGTATGAAGTAGTAACAAGGGAAACATGTTTGGATTCAACACACACAAAAGGAAATACTTCTGTAATTACCCTCACAGCAACTTTTTTTTTTTTTTGAGATGGAGGTTTGCTGTTGTTACCCAGACTGGAGTGCAATGGCACAATCTCGGCTCACTGCAACCTCCGCCTTCTGGGTTCAAGCAGTTCAATTCTTCTGCCTCACCCTCCCGAGTAGCTGGGATTACAGGCATGCGCCACCATGCCCAGCTAATTTTTGTATTTTTAGTAGACACGGGGTTTCACCTCGTTGACCAGGATGGTCTCGATCTCTTGATCTCGTGATCCACCCGCCTCAGCCTCCCAAAGTGCTGGGATTATAGGCGTGAGCCACCGCACCCAGCCACAGCAACTTTCTTTTAGGTTCTATAGAAACTACCTTGTCAGTTACTCAACATTTTGCCAAGTTTTCCTAAGTCTTTGGCAATTACCTACTGCCTCCTCAGGAGAAAGGCTGATGCTGTCTGTGTACAGGTATTCCAGGAAGGCCCGGTAAACAGGATATGAAAATTCACTCATTTCTACAATATCATCCTCATTATCTTCCAGTGATGAACGAAAATGCTCACATCTGAAGGAAGAAAACAGCATGTCAGGTCCTAGCTTCCCAGCCAGGACGGACGGCCTCTGTGAGGAGCACGTCCTTCTCTCAAAGGTGCACACTGGCCCATCCCTGCTGTGGCTCTTCACTCTCCTTGCTGGCCTGAGTTTTCAAACAATCATTTATTCAGGTATATGCAAACCTGCTGCCAGGGGTGGCCTGGGAAGCAGCCCCAGTGGCCACGCTGATGGGGACAGAGCTGGGCTGGCTGGCATCTCTCTCATACCACATCCACTAATTAGCATTTAGAGAAATCAGTGGGTTTATTTTTATAAAATCTGAGTGATTCTGTTTCCTCACTCCATTATGGGTTGAATGATGTCATCTAAAAATTCATATGCTGAAGTCCTAAAACAGCCAATACCTCAAAATGTGATCTTACTGGAAGAGAGTCTTTTAAGAGGTAATCAAGTTATCAGGAGGTCACTAATGTGGGCCCTAATCCAATGTGACTGGCATCCTGATAAAAAGGGGAACTTTGGACCAGGCACAGTGGCTTATGCCTGTAATATCAGCACTTTGGAAGGCGGGTAGATCACAAGGTCAGGAGTTTAAGACAAGCCTGGGCAACATGATGAAACCCCGCCTCCACTAAAAATACAAAAATTAGCTGGGCGAGGTGGTGGTCACCTGTAATACTAGCTACTCAGGAGGTTGAGGCAAGAGAATCGCTTGAATCTAGGAGGCGGAGGTTGTAATGAGCCAAGATGGCGGTCACTGCACTCCAGCCTGGGCAATAGAGCAAGACTATGCCATCTCAAAAAAAAGCGGGGGGTGGTGTAAATTTGGACACAGGCATGCACAAAGGGAGAATGCCACATGCTGACTAGAGTTAAGCAGCCACATGGCAAGGAAGGCCAAAGACTCTCAGCAAATCCCCGGCAGCTAGGAAAGAGCCACATACAGAAGAAACCCATCCCACTGACACTTTTGATCTGGGACTTCCAGCCTCCAGAACTTTATGCTGCTTAAGCCACCCAGCCTATAGTACTTTGTTACAGCAAATTACTCCACCTGCCTTCCTTCATGCAGGTTGATGTGATGTAGTGAGAGTGAACGAAGGCTGACAGCTTGACCTTACTAAAGGGAAACTTGAGACTAAAATGCTGTGTTGAGTTTGTGAGTCACTGCAGTAGGCCTTAAATATCTGTTACACAACAACATCATGAATTTCCAAATCATCATGTAAGAGAAAGAAGTCAGGCACAAACGAATGCATCCCGTATCATCCAATCTATGCATGCTCCAGAAAATGCTAACTAATCCATAGTGACAGAAGGTGCCATGGTCGCCCAGGGCTAGGACATGAGGGGTCTTGGTAGGGTGATGGGAATGTTCTCTATCTGGATGTGGGGCAGTGGTTTCACAGGCGAGTGCATGTGTCAGCACTCATCAAACTACACACTTGAAATGCATACAGCTCATTGCTCAGAAACATTCATAAATGTGATTTTTTAAATCTCTGTGCTAGCCTCACCACGGCCCCTTTTGGTCTGGAAAGACCTTGATCTTCTCTTTTATAAAGCATCTAAAAGTTCAGTATCCCACAAGTGATTAAACAAAGTGATTATTATGAGCTGATCTTCATTCCCAGGCAGAGAGGGTAACTGATGGACATGCAAGTATCTATACGGTGTTCAGAGCACAGGACAGACTTGCAGTGTGTGCTGGCTGCTCCCTGCTGCCAAGATGACCAACCCACTTTTCAAGTGTAAGGAACGTCGATGGTACCAATTCCCTGAACCACACACAACCTGTGTTATTTCTTGTTTCACATGTTTCCTCTGGCTTGTAAGGGCAAAAACAGCCTTATCTTGTTAAATTATTACTAAGGTGCAAATATAGTTGTTGAATGAATGATTTTTCTCAACTCTCAAAATAAATGATTCCTTACCGAATCTTGAGAAGGACTTTATGTGCATAAATGTACTTTCCATCCACCAGAAACTTCAGGTCTGCAGTGTCGGGGTTGTCAAATTCCCTCTTCAGCGACTCAGCCACTGTGAGGTGGTCGTCAGGTTCTAAGAGAATAATGCAAATGCTTCCGGAGTTAGCACAGATATAATGAACCCACAGGCCAGGATATGGCACTGCTCTACTGATGCTCATGAAAATACCACTTCCTCAAAATAACTGAGCAATTGAGCAACGGGGTTTTTCCCCTAAAGACAGATTTGCATCTCTGTAATCATTAAGGATAAGAATCCCACACACATCTGCTTATAAATCTGGCAAAATAACAAGAAAAAGTCCCAAGCCACATCACTAATTTTGAATGAAATGTTAGAACATTTGAGTAGATATGCTAGCTAAAAGTAAAAGACACAGTTTCTTGGTAAAATTTAAAAGGAGTAAAATAAGGGCAGGGCACAGTGGCTCACACCTGTGATCCCAACACCTTGAGGGGTGGAGACAGAAAGATGGCTTGAGGCCCATAGTTCGAGACCAACCTGGGCAGCACAGCGAGACCCCACCTCCATAGAAATTTACTATTGATGTTGGTTTCTGATGTTCTTAAGAAAATAAAGTTTGTTCTCTTTTGCAGAAGCCCATAAGAGAGAAATAAATTATGATAGTGCACTTAACAAAATCCTCACTATCAAAGTAAAAGCCCTGGGTTCTTTTTCAGATGTTCGGGCTATCCCCCAAATGGACAGTGACCAGCTCACCCACGGAGAGGAGGCGCCAAGTGACGGCGGGAGTAGCAAAGCAGGCAAACACGTCGTCGGTGCAGGAGAAGTGGGTGAGGTGAGGGAGGATCACGGACTGGCCCCGGCACTGGCCCCACATGTACACGTGCCCACCCTGCGTCTTGGCCGCAGACGTGTGGGTGGAGTGACAAGCTGCAATCTCGATAATCCTAAATGCACAAACACACACCACATAAGCACAGTGACCAGGGACAGAAGCAAGCTGTGTCTTCCTCCCCCCAGGTTTAACAGATGTGGAATATCATAAAATTAAATTTACAGAAAGGGTCAGGAAAAGAAAAACAAAAAACAGCACATGACTCATACACCTCATCTCTGAAATTTTCAGGCACCAAACTGTTATTTACATTTAAGCCACATGTCAATGGTATTTATAACTCATGAAGATCTGTTTGTACCACTTCCAGCCAGTAGGCCTATAAAAATATGAGCCATCCTGTTTGGAAATTCAAGTATAACCCAAGAGAGTAGTGTTCCCCCTACCAAAAAATGGTGGTTTAATTTTTTTTACCCCACAATATTACTTGCTGAAGAAAATAATAAAAGTTTCGGCCATCTGGACCAAGGGCCAATAAATATTAAATATTTCAATGAAAATTTCACCATAAATGTATTTTTAGCATGATATGGGTCGTAACAACTCCTACTACACGGAGTCAATTCAGTAGTTCTCCCACACTGGACTGTGTGATCTAGAACTCAGGAGAGCAGTTTTCTAGGATCACCATGTGATAGACTCTACTAATTTAAGTTCATGACTGATGGGGAGGTCGTTCTCAGAACATTTTTTTTTGTCTTTGGGACAGAGGAATCTCACCACGTCATCCAGGCTGGAGTGCAGTGGCATTATCTTGGCTCACTGCAACCTCTGCCACCAGGGCTCAAGCAATCCTCCTACCTCAGCCTCCATGGTAGCTGGGACTACAGGTGCAAGACATCACACCTGGTTAATTTTTGTATTTTTTTGTAGAGAAGATTTCGCCATATTGCCCAGGCTGATCTTGAACTCCTGAGCTCAAGTGATCTGCCCACCTTGGCCTCCCAAAGTGCTGGGATTACAGGTGTGAGCCACTAGGCCCCGCCTCAGAACACTTCTTAAAGGAAAACATTGTCTTATTAATCTGGAAGTAATTTCTTTTCTATCAGAAGAAGCCACCATACACTTAAAGAAAAATGATAAATGCTTTTAACCCAGGGGAAGTCCCCATCTTTGTTTTGCTACAGCAGACAATGGTACCAGCATCCTCAGAGACTTAGGCCCAGAACCTCAGGGTCATCTTTGACTTCTCCCTCCTCATTTACCACATCCTTCAGAATATCCAGCTAAAAAACAAAGATGCTTTCTTTGTACTGTCTGCCCTCAGCCACCACTGGGGGGTCAGGCACACCCTGCATCTGGCCCCAGTCACAGCCTCCCAGGTCTCCCTTGCCTTAGACTCTCTCCTCTGCCCCAACTCATAGAGTGCTGACAAGTTAACCATCCTCCTGGAACACCGTTCTCATCAGACCTCTCACACAGGCAGTGGTTTCCCTCAGATAAAAATCTGACACAAGACGTAACTCCATCCGTGATTTGGCATCACCTCTGGACAGCCATCTCTCAAGTCACTTTTTTCTACACACCCTATGTGCCAGCAAACAGGCTTTCTCATTGCCCTTCAATGTCTTCATACACGGTTGTTCAGGAATATTCTTTCTCTCTGCCTTATAAACCCTACCCATCTTGTAAGGCCCAGTTCAAACTGCCCCAAGGTTGAGGTCTCCCCGTCACCTGAGCTCCTGCAGCCCTTCCTGTCCACACCACTCCAGCTGGCCCTGTTACTGTTCCATGCATCTGTTTCATCTGTTCAGCAAGATGGCCAGTTCCTAGCAGGCCGAATTACTGGCTTAATTCTCTCTAAGCACATAACATGGTGTCTATCTTACTGAATATAATTTGTGAGTGACTTTACTAACTGAGTAAGACTCAACAAAAGAGCAAAGAAGAGGTGTGTAAGACCCCATTGACATAGGCTAGCACCTGAAGGGTGTGGATGATCCTTCACTGCCTCCTTTAGGCAGTTGCTCCCAATCCAGGAGGGAGGCATCATCACAGAACCTGGAGCTTGTGCCAGCTCGCCTCAGAGAGTGAGACATGCATGCTGTTCTCATGTGCAATTTCACTGACTTATTAGAGGATCGGTCTTAAGTCTTGAAAACCACCCACAAATACTAGAGGAAAAGAGGCTACAATGGCCCACAATAGACAGCTCAGGATTTGGAGTCAAACAAACCTAGGTTTGTTTGTTTGTTTATTTATCTCATAATTTCAGCTCAAAGGAAAACAAAAGCTAGGTTTGAATCCCGCTCTACCACTAGGCTGCATGACTAGGGGAATGTCACTTAGCCCCTAGGAGCCTTGGTTTCATCAAGTGGCAGGGCTGGTGTGAGAATCGAATGACAAAACGTTAAATGCCAACCAGCTACCATGTCTGTGTGCAAATGGTTGCATGACAATAGAGGTTTCTCTACATGATGACTACTCAGCATTTTAAGTGGCAAAGCGGCATTTTCAGTGATAAAGTCAGGTTAGTAAGACCTTCCCTAGAAGAGTCGTTTCCTGCTATTTGCAGGGTTAGGCCAGTCCACTGGCCTAATCCAGTGCTGTGCAAAAGAACCATGCCAGCTGGGGAAAATGGCTAGTAATATTTGGCTTCTCAATCAGCACATTCTATCCAACAAATAAAGAAAATGGGAGAAAGAAACAGAATAAATTTATCCAAAGAGAAGTACATCTACTTTTACCATTGATTTCACTGGTAAGCCCCCTAAGTTACAAGCAAACGTGAAGGTAGTAACATGGTTTGTCTTCATGGCCTGGTGCTCTGGGCAGGACAGGGGGCTCAGAGTCAGAGGGTATTTCTAGGGCCATGTTACTTCAACTCTTATAAACAGCTTTACCATCTTTAAAAAAAATAGGTGAGGGGGAACAGGATACAGGCAGCAATTGTCTCACAGTTTGTGGTTTCGTATACATGGAACAAGTTCCTGGCAGAGCTGAGAAGTGAAAAAGGCTTCCTGCGTGACTCAAAGTGCTTACCAGCTCCTTCAGGAACTGTGGGCCGCCCTGAGGAACTCATGATTTAGCTGGAGGGAGAAGTCCAGATCTGTGACTTTGCAAATAATTCCCAAATAACATCAGTATGGCCCTGACTACAAGTACTCCAGTGAGTAAGGAAAAACACCTGGGGGCTTCTCCGGGGAATATTTCCAAGTAAAAGGGAGTAACTGGGCCATGAATGCTTTGGATTGGCTACAGCCCTGGAATAAGAGCCTATGAGGCAGAAAGAAATGCAGGAGCAAATGCGCAGGCAGAGCTGGAAACGGCAGGACGGCAGAGAGTGGCATCATACGAAGCCTGACAGTGACAGAGGCCAACGCTGGGATCAGAGGGCAATGAGGCTTGCCAGGAAGTGGTATCAGCTTTAATCCAGAGCCAAAGAGTTCTGATATGATCTGACGTGATAGGCAAATGGGAAACAGCTTTGTAAACAGGGCCATGAGGTGAGGAAATGGTATTCTCAGAAAGAATGACCTGGCTACAGTGTGCAAGACAGGCTGCAAGGGAGAGAAAGAACAGTCTGGAAGGCTGGCCAGGGAGGCCAATGCAAGCTAGGCTGCCAAGGAGTAATGAGGGTGGCCCGGGTGTCAACGCAGAGGAGAGAGAGGAGTGGAAGGTGGCCCCGAGGATGAGTCTAAGAAAACCCCCGGCTGACAGTGCTGAGGAAGGGTGAGGCCGCACTGGTCAGGTGGCAGGTGTGGGGGCCAATGTAGGGATAGCTGAGCCACTAATAAAAAGAAAAAAAGCCTTCTGTGTTTTAACCACCTCCATCGTAAAGCCATCTGGTATTCTCAGGGAGCAGGGGAGGTGAGGGCAGCCCAACGAACAACGTTGAGATAACATTCATGAACTGCTCTTCATTTCTTCAGATATCAGCGCCTCTGCAGGGACCTACTAGTCAAAGACTTCTACAGTTTTTTAATCATTTCTGTGTACTTTGGGGTAATGTTCTGTGAAAAATGTCAGTGACTGAATCATCACAACATCCTTCACTGATCTCCCCAACATCAGAAAAGCCAAATCATGCAGTTCCCATGTTCCCTTCTGAGATAGCTGTTGTTTGTTATTAGCATCCATGAAATGGGGTAGCCTCTGCCCCTAGAGCAGCTGGTGACCTGAAGCGGGAGACGACTTTCTAGAGAAGGGCTGGGACAGAGCCAAAGGGTGGGTCAGGGAAGGTCATGTGATGCTGGCCATCCCCGGGCATGGCCTTGTGACATTTACCTGGCACACCCAGCTCCACATGGGAAGTCAGGGGTGGGGCACAGGCTTGGCTGGCTGCATTAGCTGCTACAGGAATGAGAGTGGAGAAAGTTTAGAGGAAACCTTCAGGTCTAGGCTTGCAACCCAAGCAACCACTAAGGAACCCTGCCATTACCTGAGGTCATCAACTTTTAAACTGGATTTATACCAAGCAGCAAACGTTGACCTTCCAATTTTCCAGTCAGACATGCAACAGACAGTGACTATCAACTGAGCTAACCTTTAACTGTCAGGATGTCTGGCATATTTCATACTTTATTTTGTAGGCAATCTTAATGGGAAAAAAAATCACCACATGTTGGTAATAAACAGTTTTGTGTCACCTCAAGGGAATAATCCACAACAACCACTGAGCTTACTGGTTATGAAGTACTAGAAATGAGAAAGCAGAGAGGCTGGGTGCAGTGGCTGATGCTTGTAATCCCAGTACTTTGGGATACCAAGGTGAGTGCATCACAAGATCAGGAGTTCAAGACCAGCCTGGCCAACATGGAGAAACCCCATATCTACTAAAAAAAAAAAAATTAGTCAGGCATGGTGGCACATGCCTATAATCCCAGCTACTCAAGAGGTTGAGGCAGGAGAATCACTTGAACCCAGGAGGCGGAGGTTGCGGTGAGCCAAGATTGCACCATTGCAATCTAACCAGGGTAACAAGAATGAAACTCCACCTCAAAAAAAAAAAGAAGAAGAAGAAAAGAAAAAGAGAGTGAGAAAAAATGAAACCAGAAAACCTCAAGGAGGGGCGAAAGGTCGTCTGTGAGGGAGAAGAATATTTGAAGAGAAACAACAAGGATGACAAAGCCACAGCAGGGATTTCCAATCTTGGTTTTGTCAGAGCCCAAGTTTTGTACTGACTACCTCAAAATTTGAAGAATTGTCAGAAATTAAAGGCAAAGTTAGTTTTACATCAGTTTAATTTAAAATATGCTGTTAGGGAAGGCTAAGAACAAAGATGCAAATGTTGGGCAATCTGCACCAAGGAACTGAAACTTCGGAAAAATTGCGGATGACTGGGTTAGGGAGAAGACGACCATTTTAATCATTAAGTTTACTTTTATGCAAACATAAATTGCTGACAAATATCAGTATTCTCCATCATAAATAAAATCTTTTTCTGGGGAAGATTTAAAAGGTTTCCCCTTGGATGGATGGTTGTTCCAGCAAAGAAAACAAGGTAGACAGATTTTTCCTTCCCACTTCTGTGAACAGGTAACTAAGAACTGAAACCCACCCGACCCACATTCAATCCAGTTCCTAATTAGGCTTTCCTGTAATGGGCCTCAGAAGAGTCAGAAGTAAGGCTCCAGGGTTCCTGAGGGATAAGTTATGACATATACTTGAGTTTCCTGTCAGTGGAAAGGGTGGAGAAGTGCAGAACAAGTCCTAGCATGGACCTGTCGGCCCCTCCCTCACAATACGCCCATGATGGAGTGCCTGGTTGAAAATGTGTATGTTCAGAAATCACCACTTGAAATTCAAGCATGGAAAACCAGGAAAATCAGGAACATCTCATTTAAAACATTCATCCACTTTTTTTTTTTTTTTTTTTTTTTTTTGAGACAGAGCCTTGCTCTATTGCCCAGGCTGGAGTGCAGTGTCACGATCTCACTGCAACTGCCCGTTCCCAGGGTCAAGAGATTCTCCTGTCTCAGCCTCCCAAGTAGCTGGGATTACAGGTGTGTGCTACCACACCCAACTAATTTTTTTATTTTTAGTAGAGATGAGGTTTCACCATGTTGGCCAGATTGGTCTCAAACTTCTGACCTCAAGTCATCTGCCTGCCTCCCAAAGTGCTGGGATTATAGGCATGAGCATGCAGCCCATCCATAATTTTTACAGCCAAATTATAATTCAAAAATAACTATAGTTTAAGACAAAAGCAATAGATAACTCTCAATGCCCAGTTAAGCAACTTGGCACTCACACAGCTTCCATTCCCATTACCTGCTTCTCTGCTGCTTTGTCTTTCTCCCACCTGATGCCCCATAATCTGTCTGCCAGTAAGAACCTGAATCAGAAGCCCTGGGTGATCATTCTGGATCAGGGACCAGCAGTGCAATGCAGCAAGTCACTGATGGGGAATGATGGCAGATTCCGTGAGTCCAGGGACAGATGTACTAAAGTTCTGAGTAAGTGTGGGAGCACCATGAAAGTAATGGGCCAGGCCAGGCACAGTGGCTCACACCTGTAATCCCAGCACTTTGGGAGGCTGAGGCAAGAGGATTGCTTGAGCCCAGTAGTTACCAGTCTGGGCAACATGGCAAAACCTTGGCCCTACAAAAAAACACAAAATTCAGCTAGGCATGGTGGCACGCTCCTGTAGTCCCAGCTATTCAGGAGGCTGAGGTGGGAGGATTGCCTGAGCTTGGAAAGTCAATACTACAGTGAGTCATGATGGAACCATTTCAGCCTGGACAACGGGAGACCGTGTCTCAAAAAATAAAAATAAAAAAAATAACGAGCCCATGCAAATGAATCGTTTTATGTCCATTCTATCTTTATTTGATCCTTTAACTCTGTTTTTCAGTTTAAATATTAAGTTTCCCTACCAACTGAGGCATTTTGTGGTTATTCAAAGCCTCAGGACTGTCCCTTCTCTTCTGAGAAGCTCTAAGCCACCTTATAAGATGTGCTGCAGGCATCCGCCTGCACCATGTCCTGCCTCCATTATTGCCCTTCTCCCAATTCTGAAGGGGCCAGGGGTCTTATTTTAAGGTTTTTGGAGAAAAAAGTTATATTTAACTTATAAAATTAACGTTTGTTAAATCAGTTAAATAAAACTTTTAAAACATAGGTTAAAGAAAGTTAGCCAAGTTCACAATACTCAAATGAAAACTGAGGCAGTTGAAAAGTGACAATTTGGTTCTTCATTTTCATTATTAAGTATTCCAACCAAAAAGCAGAAAAGAGCTGCATCTAAGTACAAGTGAATCTGTTTGTCTATATGTTTCTTTTAAAATCAAATATAATAAAGATATATCAGTAAAAAGAGCAGCATTCATTTCTACAATGACTGCAACCCTGGTTTAAAAGATAATGAAACATTTTTGCTCTGTACTACTGAGTGAAAAGGCAGTGATCTGACCATGCTTGAGAAATTCCAAAGGCTTTCAAAAATATTAGAATAACTTGTAAACTAATTCCGCATGTACTAATTACATAACACGACCTTGCAAACAAGTGCACAAAACTCAGTCTTAATTTCCCAACCATTTTATTCTTCCTCATAGTGACAGCTTGGGAGTTAAAAGTAATGAAATAATCCTATCCTTTTCAACTGGCAAGTACTTTATGTAGCTAAGTGGCCAGCTTTATACCCCACGCAAGGTACCTTTCCTAAGCCACGGAAGAGTGACCTCGAATGTTACTGAAGTCCCCTTAACCGTGTAAAACAAGAAAAGGAGGAGGGCAAAAGGGTGACCTGTAAGGGAAAAGAGTAACAACAGAATAGCTCTAGCAAGTTTAGTCATCGGAGTCTGCTTAGCATAGCTGTTGGAGATATGGATGAAATATGGGTAAGTGAAAATAGCATATTTAAGACAATCAACCTCCCCAACAATTCCAAAGCCAATTTTTAAAAAGGAATAAATACTCTTGTTAAATAATATTTTAGCACTAGCAGTACATTCTCCACCATTCTCTATACGTCTAAGTCATGTTTAGTCACAATCACCAAAGACCAGTACAGGGACTGTGTAAATGCCCACGTTACCTGTCCTTTTCCACAGTGACAGGAGTAGGATAGGACTGGTTGCTTTTATTGCCAGTGCCCAACTGCCCATAAGAATTGGCACCCCAAGCATACACTTGGCCTTCATCTGTTAATACTAATGTGTGTGCATAGCCACAGGCGACCTGGAAGGAAAAAAAAAAAAATCCTCTCAGGCCTGCAAATAGAAATATTTAGAAGAAAATATTTCACTGCTTCCACAAAGTAGGTTAAGAATCAAACATGAAAAAAAAGGAAGAGGCAGCCTACCCATAGAGGCAAGCATCAAGTTAACCAATATCCTTCCAGAACTGCAGTAACATTGCCATGAGTCCCCTGGCGTGCTCTGCCCCAGTTCACTGTAGCTTCAATGCTCATAGAAATCAAGGGGTATGAGGGGAATGTAAGAAACAGACACTTGTTTTTTTTGTTGTTTTGTTTTGTTGAGACGGAGTCTCACTCTGTTACCAGGCTGGAATGCAGTGGCACAATCCTGGCTCACTGTAACCTCCGCCTCCCAGGTTCAAGCAAGTCTCCTGCCTCAGCTTCCTAAGTAACTGGGACTACAGGCACACGCCACCATGCCCAGCTAATTTTTGTATTTTTAGTAAAGACAAGATTTCACCATGTTGACCACAATGGTCTTGATCTCTTGACCTCATGATCTGCCTGCTTGTATTTTTTTAATAATTATTTTCTTTTTGATTATAAAAGTAAAACATGTTCAATGTGAAAAATATAGAAGTACTCTGAAGATTTGAGGCTTTTTCTTCTATTTCTGTTTAGACAGATATGCACCTATAGCATCATTTTTACTGACCATGTTGTATAAGCAGTTCTGTATTTTATTTACCATCACACATAGCACTTTCCCATATCATTAAAAGTTCCTTGTATAAATCATCTCCAGCCTACACACTTGGCATAATTTATCTAATCATAACTCATTATTTGATTAGTAAATTACTTTATACCTATTGTTTTTTATTAAAGTTATCATTTTTTAATATACATATATATCTTCTTAACTAATTCCGTAAGAGACTTACAGGAACTGTTGGTTCCTCAGGGAAATTCCCTAGGAGTAGAACTACAGGTCAAAGGGTATGAAGGCTTTTAAGGCTCTTGTACACCCTGCCAAAGCTTCCTCAGGAAAGGCTGTAACAATTTATATTCCAAAAGGTGTGTGACAGTGCCCTGGAACAGAAATTGTCTGAACAGCTGCAATTTAACTCAAGGAAAAGAGATTTAACCTTTCCTTTAATGAAGACATCCAAGCAGCTAAAATTCTCATCCTGCCAAGAAATCTGTGTTTTTAATACATTGGTATCTTTGCCAGCAAAGACTTAAAAATACATGCACACAAACTGACAGTGGACGTACCCGCTGGACACGGATGCCTTGCAAAGCTGCCACTCTGCAAGGGGTTGGCTGGTTGCCACTGTTGCCAAGTCCGAGCTGCCCGTTTCCATTGTAACCCCAGACGTAGACCTGAGAGAAAATAAGACCCTCAATCCTCTCAAAAGACAAGTGGCCACAAGTTATCTGTTATGTGGGACACACTACACTGGCATGAAACTGATGTGGCAAACAGGATTTTTAAACAAGATGCAAAATAACTACCTTACCTCTCCACTGTCCACTACCGCCATGCAGCACATCTGCCCACATGCTATGGTCACAACTACTTTATTCTGTAAGCAGCCAGTGACTCTTCGAGGGGTTGGCTGATTAACTGTTGATCCAGATCCTACCTGCCCAGAGTTATTATAACCCCAGGCAAATACCTGTTTGAAAGGAAAGATCAATAAATGAAACACATTAGTGTTATATAAAGTGTCTCAATTGGACACTCACATGTACTTGTGGCACCGAGTCTTTCCTTTCAAAGTGCTTCAGATCCATAAATCCTTACAACACAGGCAGAGAAGTGTTTATAAAATTCATTCGTATGCAATGTACATAATTTTATAAAATTAGGTTATTGGTGTTATCAACACAAACTAATAATTGCTATTAAATAACATGTAACACAAAAATATCTACTTTCCCCAGCCATCTTTTCCAGCATTTAGGGACTTTTCTTATTGCACATAACCTCTTTACTATAGCAACAGAGAAGGAACAATACTTCCTTTTAAATTTGGCAATATGGAAGTCCTTACTAGATACAGGTAAATGTCACAACATCAACTGTGAATTGCTACCAAAAATAATGCTGAATTTGAGGGAGGTGGTTATTTTAATCAAATGAATGTATTTCCAGGACTACTACAGAAGTCTATATAATCTTATTGAAAAAAAACCAATGAGCTTCATGCTGACTATTCTCACCTCTCCATCAGATGTTAGCACCAAAGAATGGTAAGACCCACAGGCCACTTCAATGACTTGTTTGTTTGACAAGTTAGTAGAGATATGACAGGGCACTAAACCATGGTTAGTTGTCCCATTGCCCAGCTGGCTATAAGCATTGTGACCCCAGGTAAAGACTTCTCCTTCTGAAAATAAAAAGAAAGACAACCAGCTTTTACAACATCTATTTCATTATATGAAAATACATATAGCACAGCTTCCACAAATGAAATCTAAAAATTCAGGTACAAAAAGCTAATTAACTTCCCCATTCCACCAAAGGCATTCTACAAAAGAATCTCTTTGGAAAGGATAAACTGCATTCTACCTCAAAGCAACAAGGTGAAATTTAAATGCATGCAGTTATAATAACTAGAAAATAAGTTTTTAATAAACAGCAGAGAAAATGCTGCTAAGAGTAATAGCAAAAACATTATACTGAAAGTAAATGATTGTAAGGCCACTTAATTCCTCTGGGTCTTAATTTCCTTATCTTTAAAATAATCACTAAGTTATTTTTAAAAATATTTGTTATTATTTATTGTATAGCATAATACACAGAAAAGTTCATAAAACATAATATACAGTTTTATAAATTATAAAGCACACACCCATGTACTACTGCTTATGTCAAGAAATATAACCTTATAATCACCCCCCAAAAGGCCCTCATATGTGCATCTTGCAAACAAATTTTTAGTTTTTCCTGTTTTTGAAATTTAAATAAATGGAATCATACAGTATGTACTCCTTTCATCTGTGTTTTCCAGTATGTTGCCTCTTTGTATTATATTCTGAATAATGTCTTCTGATCTATCTTCCAGTTTACTAATACTAATTTGCTGTGTTCAAACTACTATAAAATTTGTCCACTGAATTTTCATTTTAATCATATTTTTCATTTGGATCTTTTTCAAATCTTCTATAATCCCTGCAGATTATAGAAATTAAGCACTTTTTAATTTCTTCAAACAATAAATACAGCTGTCTTATAATGGGTGTCGATAATTCTAATGCCTGATATTTAGTAATCAGTTCTTGCTGTCTGTTGTTTCTGCTGGTTCCATTCATGGTACCTTGTTTCCTTGCATAGCAAGCCCCCCTTATCTGCAGGGGATATATTCCAAGACCCTCAGTGGATGCTGAAACTATGGACAGTAACAAACTTGTGTACACTATGTTTTTCCCTATAAATATATACTTATGATAAAGCTTAATTTGTAAGTTAGGCATAGTAAGAGATTAATAACAATAACTAATAATAAAATAGAAAAGTTATAAAATGTACTGTTCACAATGTCACAGGATAGAAGATTTGTTCTTACCATAAATCTTAACAACCTCAGCGTGAAAACTCTCCATTTTTCATTTAAAGCGAGAACTGTATGATTTCTCTTTGGCATATCCAAATTGCAAGCATCACTACTCTTGCACTTTGGGGCTATTACTAAGTAAAATAAGGGTGACTTGAGCACAAGCACTATGATACCAAGATAGCCAATCTAATAACTGAGACAGCTACTAAGTAACTAATGGGTGGGACTGTCTACAGTGGAGACGCTGGACAAAGGGATGATTCATGTCCCAGGTGGGATGGAGTAAGATGGTGAAATATCACCCTACTAGGAATGGCACACAATTTAAAACTTATGAACTGTTTTTTTTTTTTTTTTGAAATTTTACATTTATAGTTTCAGACCACAGTCAACTGCAGGTAACTGAAACCTGGGAAAGTAGAACCACGGATAAGGGGAGACTACTGCATATCTAGTTATCTCTGACTATGTGCTGCCTATTGCCATTGAACAGTTATTTTGGGTAATTCTCTTGGGCCTAAGATAAAGGTGTCTTCCCCCATGAAGGATTTGCATTAACTTCTGTCATGCCCTTAAGGCTACTGCCATCCAGTACCTCGAATATATTCAAGGCTTGAGATTTCTTGGACTGTTCAGTCTTAATGTGAATTAAACTGCAAATCCATGGTTACCACCTTTTGGGGAGAAGTTTTATTTATTTTCTTTCTTTTTTCCTCCCTGCTTTGCTCTGAGTAAGGAATTTTTCTAGTCAGTCCCTTAGGAAGTGACTGTTCCCTACTACTAATGCCAACTACAATCAGTCACTCTTTAGTGTAAGAATCACAGAATGCTAAGAGTTGGCAGGGGGGATGTTGGAGACAAGGTTTGGTCTCTCAATTCATAGATCAGGAACCCAAAGTTCAGACAGACTTGCCAAAGTCCACAGTGAGTTCGGGAGTGTTTACTGGGCTCACAGCATTGTCATTCATACATCTAAAAGGCCAGTGATTACTAGAGTCCATCTGCCACATTGTCTTACGTTGGCATTCAGATACATTCATGTTTCATGGTATCCAAAGCATAGTCAATTTCACAGGAAGAGCCAGCAACTCTCACCCAATTTAAAAAAAAAACGTTCTCAAGGGCAGCTGACTCATTTCTCAACAAATAAAGCTGTAATTCTACATGGGGTTCCTAGGTTACCTGTTGTTGCAAGGACAATATGTGGACCACTCCCATAGCTGAGGCAGGCTATTTTTTTGCCACTTAAAGAATCCAGTCTCCGAGGTTCAATAGTGCTCTGGACGTCACCTAACCCCAAACAGCCACAGCAGTTTGTGCCAAGCACAAAAATCTATGGGAAAAACCACTGTTAGTTCAAGCAGTTCTATTTCTAACAAACCTATAAATTACATCCAAACAGGAATCACCTTCCTTAAGCAAACTGCATCTTTATATAATAAATAAAAATCTAATTTCCATGCTTTCTTTTTTAACCTCTTACTCCTTAGTTCCCCAAAGATCTTCACTTTGGCAAATCCATTTCTAAAAATGTGAGTAGCTGAATTGTTTTCTTTAAAATTACCTCATCATTTACCGTAGTGTATAAAACTTCATTGCCAGCACCGCCAAAGACACAAGCCTGACGAATTAACTGCAGTTCTTCCTCAGAACAAAGGGAAAAAATTGGCCACTTTCCCACATCTAACATCTTCAAAGATGACAGAGTAGCCTGTACTGGCTGAAAAGGAAGAAATACATATATGTTGAGATAACAAATTAAAAAATGAATTTTCTCTGCCCCTTCAGTTCTGTAGAAGAGGGCAGACACTGGTTTTGGGAGGAACACGCTGTGTCTATTTTCCAGAGGCCTCTCGCAGCTGCAGGGATTGCCTCTGCCAGCTGCTTCTGGGCAGCTCAGAGCCACTGAGCACCAGAGGCCCAGATGGAACCAGGTCTCCCCTACTCATTGTCCTCAAGGACACGTTAATCATCCAAAGCTCAGCTTCTGGGAACTGAATGTTCAGCAAATACCTTAAATATTGGCTATATCTTAAATGTAGCTGTAGAAACTAGGCTGGTTGTAAAAGCAAGCAAGAGAGAACTGCCATGTCATCTGTTGCCTAAGTCAAGAACAATGCTTGGAAAAGAACAATGCTGAAGGTGACACCAGGGAAAAATGATCCAAAGTTTTAGTTCACTGGCAAACTTTACCTGACCTTCAGTTTGAGGAACTGGTGGGTTTCCTCATCCCTCATGCAAGTTTAGGAGCTGGCAGGAAGCAACACCCAGAAAACACGTGTACTTGTTTGTTAAGGCAGCTGTAACAAAGTAGTGACAAGAGAAATGGCTTAAACAATAGAAATTTACTGTCTTACGGCTCTGGAAACTAGACATCCAAACTCGAGGTATCAGCTAGCTAGCGCCTTCTGAGGCCGGTGAGGAAGGGATCTCTTCCAGGCTTCGCTTCTCAGCTTGTAGATGGCTGTCTTCTCCCTCTGTTCACATCATCTCCCCCAACACCCTGCCTATCTCTGCATCTAAATTTCCCCTTTTTATAAGGACACCAGTTATATTGGATTAAGGTCCACCCTAATGACCTCATCTTAACTAACTACATCTGCATTGACCCCATTTCCAAATAAGTTGCACTCTGAGGTACTGGCTGTTAAGACTTCAACACATAAATGTTGCAGGGTCCCAATTAACCCCCTAACAACATACATTAAGATCGTGAGAGCCTGCACTTCCATAAGAGCACATTATAAAATTGCTTGAAAAGAGTTTTTACTTGTTTGCTACTTTGGAGGCATTTTTTATTGATACACTTTTCAACTTGCAAACATTTGGAAGGTTATAATAAGATACATAAACCGCCAATAATGTCTATCAAATGGCATGTCTGCTATTTCCCACAACATCAACAAACTTACACATGATTTAAAGCAGCAATGATTTTCTAAGGCCTCTCTTTCCCATCAGCTATTAAATCAACCTTACTGGGAATGTGTTCTGGCATACAGCTGAGTGGACTATCCACTTACCTTCTACAGATCTGAACACCTACTTGTCCTTTCCACCTTAGGAGAGCACAAGTCAGCAACTCTGCTCTTCTCAAGTCCACACTATTTACTTAGAAGGTTCTGCTATCCTTATTACCATGAATTTCTCTGGGGCCACCTTTATAGACTCCTGAGTACACTTCAGGAGGACAAAGACCAAGTCAGTCTCTTTCACTACCATGTCATCCAGCCCTTGAATGGCGCTAACAATGCAATACATACCTTTGTGTTGGTGAAATGAACAAGTAAATGTTTGAATGGCTGTGACTCACTTCTTCATTCACAGCCCTTCTTTCCATCCCATCCTCTGTAACTCCATTCCAAAAGCTGGGCCCGAATCCCTGCTCTCAGCTCCAGAGCTCTCTCCATTTCTACTTCACCTGAGCCATATCATCAAACACAACTCTGTTACTAAGTCCTCAAACTTTTAAGTTTCCTTCTGATCACAGCCAACAGTCTTAAACTTGTATCCAAAGTAAAGACTGCAGTAAGTAAAGGGGAGCTAGGATGCATGGAGCCCAATGGCCACTGGACCTAGAGCAGAAACAAGCAGAGCCACCAGTGTTTTTCTTGTAAATAAAGCTTTGCTTTCAGGTTTCTATCTTTTCTAAATAATCTTCATGGCACTATTGAATGCTGTGACTAAAAGGAGCTCTAAAGATCATTTTATAGATGAGAAACCTGAAGAAAGCCCAGAAAGGTGCTGCAGTGGCTTGAATGGCTTCCCCTGCAAGTCCAGATCCACCTAGAACCTCAGAAGGTGACTTTGATTGGAAATAGGGTCTTTGCAGATGTAATGGGTTAAGATGGAGTCACAGTGGATTAGAGTGGGCCCTAAGTCCAATGACTAATCTCTTTATAAGAAGACAAGAGGGCACACAGTGACACACAGGGAAGAAGGCCAGGTGACAACAGAGACAGGGACTGCAGTGATGTATCTGGAAGTCAAGGAGCAGCAAGGATTGCTGAGGGCCACCACCAGAAGCTGAGAAGATTCTTCCTGAAAGACATCGAGGGGGCACTGCCCTGATGATGCATTGATTTCAGACTTCTAGCCTCCAGAACTGTGAGAAAAGAAATTTTGGTTGCTTGAATTGCAGTCATTTGTTACAGCAGCCCAAAGAAAATAATAGAGGCTAAGAAGCTTGTCGCTGCTAATAGCATCACCCTGTGAGTTAGTGGCAGAGCCTGAACCAGGGCCAAGCTGTCCCGATGACAAATCCAGTCACATTCCTTCCCATGCCACTTGGATCATAAGACCTTTCCCTAAGAAGGACACCTTCTGTTATCTTTTGGGCAGCACCAACAGTTGGTTCTCCCATTCACTTTTGAAAAAGTGCTTACTATTTCTGTGTTTACTTTAGTTATCAGAGTACTTTGCAAAACAATTTTAGAGGTAGGAAAATTCACAGGCATTTCCCACAGGACAACCCTAATTTGGAATTCAAAAAAAATCTCACATATATAAGAGGTTATAGTTATATGCAAGTGTCAAACTATGTCCCTATTGTTATTATACATAAATTTTAGGAACACACAGTGTTCTATGGTGATGCTACATTAATCTAGGAATCCAAGAATCTTTATTTAAAAATTTTACTTCTTCTCTGTGATACTTGGTTTACTGAAAAAAGAGCTTGCCCAAGGCCATGATAGAGCTAAAAAAGGATTTTTGTTATGTTTGTTTTTAGTCAAGGTTTAAATTGTCCCACCACCCAATATCATGCAGAAATCTTATTTTCTGTGAGGTCTTCATTTTTTATTTTTTTCCTATTTTAAGTCTGTAAATTTCCAAAAGAACAAGGTTTAGGAAGTAGAAGTGGAACAAGTATTTAATGTAGATGTATTATTAATCTAGTTAATAATTGTTATATATTATTTATGATCTTCACAACAATTGTAGGACATAGATAGTATTATCCTCGTGTTACCTGTGGGGAAACTGGGGCACAGGGAAACTACGTTGTCTTCCAAGATCACTAGCTTCTCAGTGGGTGAGCAAGATTAAAGCCCAGAGTTCTTTCTACATATCATCTGATTGCTGAATAAAAGGTTTACATAAACTGTGATACTGCTGGTAGACCTAGTGTTTGCTTGTATCTGCAGCACTTTGGCTACTCTCAGAGTCCTTAAGGAATAGGGCAATAACACCTACTGTCCAGCACACTCATGAGACAATGTAGGATTCACACAATAGCCCCCATAATAGCCTCAGTCTATCTGCAGCCATTCTGCATGACAGCAGCTGTCTCTGCAGAAGGACCCAATCAACTCCATGCCCAACTGTCCAGTAAAAAACTGGCTGAGCAAGAGCTAGGTGTGGACAAGAGAAAAATCTGTATGGGGAAAAAAGCACTACTAAGGAATGACAGTATGGCAGTATGCCTCATCAAGATGGTGTCCCTAGAATTCAGTCCTGGTTTGGCACAGGTAACCCTCCTTACTGCAATAACACTACCACAGGAGATAACTAACCCAGGCCGCTTTTCTTCCACTACTTTTCGGGTATCTCGTCCACCACCCCTTCCTCCAAGACCTGGTGTCTGTTTGGGAAATGCCAAGTTGTGAAATTTTAATATTAACTCAAGGAAAACATAATTAGGGAAATATATCTGCCATAAAAGTAGAGACCAAATTGCACCTTATTGTTCCTCTGCGTGTGTGATATCGGTATAACTATTCTCCAGCAATGTGAATAATGGAGTGCCGAACCATACTTCACTTAATTACAGACAACTATCAAGTTGTTGAATTTAATTTAAAATACAGCATATTTAAAGAAAATCAGAATTACATGCTAGGCATACCTAGCAAAAAAGATTTAAGAAAAAAATGCCAACACCTCACCTTTTGAGTATTTCCTAGCAGTATAACACTTTGTATATATTCATTATATATTGTATTCATTATGTTATATACATTCATTATTATATCACTTTGTATATATATTTGTATATGTTCAATCACTATGTAGTAATAATATAGTAATTTCATTGCTAAGTCTGTGAATCTATTCTTTATTTTATGAAACCTGTTCATAGAAAAAATTAGGAATTTTTCTTTTAACATTTTGGAAGACTCTCGAGTTCTATATATTACTTTTGTAAAGCACTTTTGGACTTTCCTACAAGGGCTCACAAATGGACACTTAAGTCTGCACATGGTAATGCTATGGTTTAGTTTCAAAAGGTTTGCCACCTTTGCACACTATGCTGGCTTTGCATAATTATTTATAGTTTTATTGAATTTTGACCTGATTTTATTAAATACATATGGGAAACAGACAAAAGTTAATAGTGACAGTTAATATTAAGTTGTTAATAGCAATGAGCAGATATTTTGAAAACTGAACAAAATATCACAAGATGGAAATCAATATGCATGCAGGAAGATGTGAGGCTTTTAACATCAACTGGACACTGAGTGGACTTAAGCTGGATGACTTCATGTTCAGATGTGATGAAGAAATGAAAGAATGGCTATGACAAATTGAGAGCATATCATCTACGATTAGGCAGTTTATAATTTTTCAAATCTCTGGGAATGGGATAAACATTGTTCAACTCATACCCTTTTGCAGGCCAGCACTGTCTAAAAGTAGAGGATGGCCTTCGTGCCTCATCCGTCACTGTCACCATCTCTGGGAGCCCTTTCTCTGCCCTTCAGGTATATTGGTTCCCTGCTGACCCCTTCAGCATTCTCCATACCCACAACGATTATCTGTTGGCCTCCCAGTGATGACACTGGGAGCCCCTCAGAGATAGATACTATCTCATTAATCTTCCTGTCGGGTGACCAATAGTTGCTTCATGAAGTATATTTCATGCGACAGAACACACATGCTCCAAGGGCATGATTTTTTCTAACCTTGCCACTGTATCCACAGAAAAGAGGAAGTTCTTCTTCCATACGGACAGTCCTGGGCAGTCCCTGAGGAAAAAGTATGTGGTAAAATCAGGATCCCTTATGTTCGATGGAACTAGGCAGGTTAAAATTATTTTACTTCTAACTAACAGAGAAAATAAGCTAAGCTCAAATGTTGTGAAAGGAAGATAATGGAATTAAGTTTTAGGCATGGGAATGAACAGCTATAAAACACCAAAAATGTTTGAACTATTCTAGAACTACCGGATGGCCCCTTACGGGAATCTTCCTGCTAAGGTCTAAAAAAGTAGTCTCAAAATATACATGGGTCCTTAACTATAAAGAAAATGAGTAGAAAATTTTCACAGTTGACTTCCTGTGATAAAGAAAAATAAATTTTAGACCTTGGTCAACTTTTCTCTGAGATAGGAAAGTTCCAAATCACTGGGAAGAGCAGACATCAATTCTCAGCTCCACGGAAGAATATATGATTTGCTAAGCTAGAAAAAAAATAAAAAGGAGAAATGAAGGAAAATGATGAAAAAGATGAATGAATGTGGCTTTGTTATTCCAGATTTAATGAAAAATCTGAAATAACAGCCATCAAATATGTAGCAATACATTGATCGTCCTTGCCTTAATCACCATCCCCGCATCACCTACTTTCTACCAGGTAGACGTGACAGCAGGAGGAGCCCTAGCAGAAACTACGCAATATGTCTGAACTGTGGTTCAATCATTATGTAGTTAACTATTTCATCACTAAAAATAAATAAAAATAAAGTAGTTTCTGTCCTCCAAAAAGGAATTTAATAAGGCTGTATTTAATTATGTTGCTTTTTCTAATTTATGAGGTGGGGTCCTATTTACTTAAACACAATCTATATTTCATGTACTAACATCAGAAAATATTTTATCTGATATTTTCTACAGTAGAGTGAGAACCTCATAATAGACAGGTAAAAACAATAATCAAAATATGGCCACGTCTAAATGGTGTTCCTTATCAATGTTTTAAAGCCCTTCAGTATACCAGTAATTTTTTTTTCCTCAGCCACCAAAAGATCTCTCAGAATATAAGGAATCAGAATTTATTCAGAATTATTATGACTCAAGATTATGAAAATTAAGAGCAAATCATTACTTTCTAATGTTTGGAAACAAGTAAAAAAAGATACACTTGTTTTTACGAAGATCACTTAGAAGTTTCTCACTTAAACATTTATAAAACTTGATCTGATTGACAGTATGGAAAGATATTTTGACATTTTAATTAATATTTACTGCATATTATCTATGGCTTTTTAGCAGATCTGTTAAAATCCTAATTTTCTCTAAGACCCAGCATGACTGCCACTAAGATTTACATCAGTGTGGATCCTGATTCCTCAAATGGGCTGGGACCTCTTCTCCTCTGCATTTCCACAGCACTTTTTCTGCTTTGTTTTTAACTACATTAATGGCACTGTTCATATTCTACCTCATATGATAGTTATTCTTTTATGGTGTATCTTCTCTATTAATTGGTAAGTTCTTCAAAAGGGCAGACAATGATTCCTTCATTGCTATAACCCACAACTCATAGCTCAGAGTAAAACACAACATATTTATAGAAAGCATCCTTAAAACCCAGCTTTTCGTATACTGGAACCGGGTTGTACCAAAGATCCCCCTCTTTCTGCCTCATCCTACCAAGAAACAACTTTTCCATATTTGTCCCAAGTTTACTGGAATAAAAAATAAAAGGGGAGGAGAATAAAAAGGGAAAGAGAAAAAAAGAAAAGGGACCAAGTAGAAATGTGACTGTCCCTCACTGCATTACTCTAGGCCCTTTCGTTCCTAGCAGAAGGGAAATCTTGCTAATGTGCTAAAATCATGAAAAAGTGATCCTGGGCTTTTGAGTAGAAAAAAAAACCCTCTTTTCACTGTCTTTGATCCATTTCAAGTATAATTAAACTCTTTAAAATTAGAATGGTGGGAAACAGGCCATTCTGTTTATCTGACATCAGGTTAAGATATAATCGCAAGTATGTCATGGAAATTACCACATTCAAAGAAATGATGTGCAGGATTCAATTTGGATGAAATATAAGATTAATGTAATTTCGTATTTGTCGATCAGAAAGTCCTTCAAGATTTAAAAACAAATCAGGATTAATTACTATTGTATAATACTATTAAAAAGTGCTTTGAATTTTTTAGCATTGTGGGAGATGGTTGGCTTTTCTTTTAACATTATTTCAACGTGATGCATATATAATAGAGAAAAACAGCATCCCCAATTTGCATGTATAGTTTGCGAAATACATGTGGAGATTACCATACCCTGTTAACCATGTGATTTCACCAGGCTATTAACAATATATTGACATACATACTTAAAATAACAATTCACAATATACATACAGAAAGCCATATCCACGATGTTATAAAATGTATTCTAAGTAACAACAGCAATAATATAACAGTAAAAATAAAGTTACTCTGTGCCAGGCACTAAGTGCGTCACCTTATCACATTCAATCTTTATAATATCCAAATGAAACGAGTTAATCATTGCCTCCATTTTATTCACACATTTCAGTAACGTGACCAATAGTCACCAACCAATCAGTGTCAGAGCCAGTATTTGAACCAGGACTATTCAAAAGCCCTTGTTCTTGGACCCTCCATTGTATTTCAGGGATAGATACTTTAAGATTTTCTTCTGCACATTCCAAATAGGTTTATGTTATACTGACTGGCTGGAAGCATTCCCTCCAAAAAACTTTTGTACCTGATTGTTTTAAATTTCTGGAGCTCAGTATTCAGTCATCTTTAATCCTGTTCCTTTTAGATCCTTGTAAAGTTGTCTTCTAGAACAAAGTTAATGTGACTGGAAATATAAATACATAAATAAATTCTATTGGAAAAAAACAGAAAAGGAAAAGAACATACTATCTTGCAAATTTAACAATCCATCTGAATCTGAGAAAAATATAGTTTAACAATTGTATCCATACTATCTACTATTAAAAAGTCAGCAGCAGAGATGCTCTGTTATACAAATATGAAAGTTATAAAATGTAACTTTTAAATATCATACTTTATAAGCTTCAGGAGACGGTTTCAACAATTTGGACACTGAAACACATGAAAAATGCACACTAAGGAGAATTTAATCTATAGTATTTCCACACAGAAAATAAAAGAATACCCATGTGGAATGGAAAAATAAAAAAGCAAAACTTTCAAACTTTTAGAAGTATAGAAATATCTTTATGACCTCAGAGCAGTTAAAGATTTCATAAGACAGGAAAGCAAAAACCACAAAGAAAAGAGCAGTAATTCTGAACAAACGGAAAAATATACTACAGAAAGGAAGAAGATATTTGTAACTTACATAATGGACAGCTTGGAAAAGATTCATATACAAAATATATAAAAAATGCCTACAAATCAGTAAGAACAAAACATACAACAAAATTCAGAAGTGGCCAAAGAATACATGCAATTCACAGAAGAACAAATTAATAAACATATTAAAAGATAATGAAGTTCACCATGTTATTTATCACAGAAATGCAGCCACAATGAGATAGATCTCTTCTTTCAGATCAGCAAAAGTTAATGGGGGACAATGCCTAGTGCTGGCGAGAAGGTAGATGAGAAGGCACACTCACATATATTGCTAGAAGGAATGTAAATTGATACAATCACTTTAAAGAACAACTCAACAGTATTTAGATGGAGGCAGTCTTTCCATCTTTTTTGATATGTATATATAACGGAAACAAAATTTCACAAAATAATTCTTACTCCTATGTGAGATGTTTGATGTTTTTTTCTACTTTGTGCTATTTTATTCTACCCTACCCTATCCTATTTTATCCTATTCAATTTCATTTTATAAGAAAATGCTGATCTCGGCCCACTAAAATAATTTCCAGATCACTAACAAGTCATGTAATTTTAGCAACACTGCTCTACATGAACTCTAGAGCATATACACAAATGTTCCCAATAGCAAAAACTGAGAAAGAGCAAAGAAAATTGATCAACTGAACTGATAAACTGTGATATATGCACACTAGGTAGCTATTAAAATAAATTAGCTAGAATCAAAACAGGCAAATCTACAAAACAACGTTGACCGAAATCACTAAGTCACAAAATGACACATATAGTATACTGTTTGATAAAATTTTAAAACATGCAGAAGACAATACTATTTTAATGTGTTACAGATACCAACATATGCATGGTTAGAATTTGTTGGGAATTGATTTTCATGGGAAAGTTTTGGTGGAGGGAATACCAAAGATAAAAGGTCCCATGTAACTCCGTCAATGAATTGGTATGCTATGGCTTTTCTTTTTTTTTTTTTTTTTTTTTTTAGACGGAGTTTTGCCCTTGTTACCCAGGCTGGAGTGCAATGGCGCGATCTCAGCTCACCGCAACCTCCGCCTCCTGGGTTCAAGTAATTCTCCTACCTCAGCCTCCTGAGTAGCTGGGATTACAGGCACACACCACCATGCCCAGCTAATTTTTTGTATTTTTAGTAGAGACGGGGTTTCACCATGTTGACCAGGTTGCTCTTGATCTCTTGACCTTGTGATCCACCTGCCTCGGCCTCCCAAAGTACTGGGATTACAGGCTTGAGCCACCGTGCCCGGCCCCATACTATGGCTTTTCTATCTAACAAGATGGTTTTCAAGATTTTAAGACTAAACTAATAATCTCAGGATGGAGGGATGAAGGTTACCCAATGTAAAAGAAAATAAACTCTTAAAGTGAGAATTCTATCATTCTAATTTTGCCCTTACCAAAGACACAAAGATTCAATAAACATTTGGTAATGACAACTTACAAAGCATAATTTCTTTAGCCATCTATAAAATAAAATTGAATACCCTAGGAAGGCCAGGCATGGTGGCTCACACCTGTAATCCCAGCACTTTGAGGATCACTTGAGGCCCTCAAAAGTTTGAGACTAGTCTGGGCAACATAGAAAGATCCCGTGTCTACAAGAAACTTAAAAATTAGTTACATGTGGCAGTACACATCTGTAGTCCCAGCTACTTGAGAGGCTAAGATAGGTAGATCACTTGAGCCCAGGATGTTGAGGCTGCAATGAACCATGATCACACCACTGCACTCAACCTGGGTAACAAAGGCCTTATCTCAAAAACTAATAAATAAATAAATAAATATTTAAATCAGCTATGATCACACCATGGCACATTAGCCTAAGGAACAGAGCAAGACTCTTTTTCTAAATAAATAAAAATTAAATTAAAATTAAAAAAATAAAATAGGCCAGGCGTGGTGGCTAACGCCTGTAATCCCAGCACTTTGGGAGGCCAAGGTGGGTGGATAACCTGAGGTCAGGAGTTTGAGATCAGCCTGGCCAACATGGTGAAACCCCGTCTCTACTAAAAATACAAAAATTAGCTGGGGTAGGGGCATGTGCCTGTAGTCCCAGCTACTTGGGAGGGTGAGGCAGGAGAATTGCTTGAACCCAGGAGGAGGAAGAGGTTACAGTGATCCAAGGTCACACCACAGCACTCCAGCCTGGGTGACACAGAGAAACTCCATCTCAAAAAAAAATAATAATAAATAGATTTTTTAAAACAGGATGATTAAATAACATACTCAATGAGCAGTATTTGTACTACTATATCTGGAAGAAAAATCCACAATAGAAAAAAAAAGTTTTAATATCAATGTATTAAAATGGCAAAAATGTTCTTTCTACTTATGGTCTAAATCTGCTTACAGATGTCCCCCTTTTCTGCATAGGAAGGTAATGTTTCTTGCAGAGCTAGAGTAGAAGCTGGCAACAGTACTGGGAAGATTTTCTTCATAGTGACAGTGTTACAGCATAAGATCATCTCATATGATCTTACTATGGGATGACAGTAAGATCATCTTACTATCTTACTATGTGTTATTTTATTAGTTTTCCCCTTGTATGTTTCTTTGGGATATATGACTTGGCTCATATATATAGATATGATATATAGTTATTCATATTTAAAGGTGCTTTGTTCTTTGTAAAAGTCTCTTATGCATTTCCTCATTTTATTAAAATGTAATCTGAGACTGTTTTCACAGACTCTTACTGTACTGATATTTGCCTTGCAATATAAATAGAAAATGGAATGATAAGTACCTTCTCCAAGCAGAATTTTCTGCCTCTGATCTGTGACTTTAAAGGTTCCAAATTGGACACTCAGGGCCAGTATTTCAAGTCTGTACAAAAGTAATTTTTCAAGGCCAAATATATATCAAGTAAGGTAATCTGTCACATGACACTTCCTATTTCAGCTGTTTTCCTAATTGTACAGTTCAGTAATTTATTTGCAAAGTATCCTGGTTTGGGACAAATTACTACTTATTTCTATATATTCTATGTTGAGAGTTTTCTTTACACTCCAAAAAAATACACAGTTGAAGACTACTGAACAAGAGGACACTCTTTTGAAAATGTGACAAATACATTCATACCCAATCCTCACATAAAGACAAATAATTCATTTCCCTGTACAAAACATATAATAGGCAGTTTGTACATATTATTTTTGGTAATCAGTATTAATCAGTGTATCTGCTACACAATGTGTCATATTACTTGGTAATACCTCTGACCTAAAAAATGAGTTAAGCTGATTACAGGACATAGGTTCATTTGCCTAATTCATTCAACAAATATTGATTCAGTGCCTGCAGTAGGCACTGAAAGGAAAGCAAATACATGAGAGAAAACAGAATAACATAGAGCAAAAGAATATCCAGCTCTTCGGGGCTTGTGTCCATATTACCCCAACCTAATGGTAGGTTTTGGGTGCTGATAGTTTGCAGTTAATCGGGGGCTTCTAAATGCTAATAATTCTTTAGAAGTGATTCCAGAAGAAGTGAAAAAAATAGCAATTCCTGCAGAGAAGTCCCAGTGTCACATATTTTAAAAGTCAGCTTGATAATAAGAGATCAACTCTGAAGCATCTCAAGGAACACATTAACAATATATTTTTTAAGAATTATCTCAATATAGAACTCTATGCTTAAAATTCTCCCATCTGGGTGGGCAACACATTTGATGATGCTTTTATAATCAAAGAAACAGGAAATTAAATAATTTTGATGTCTTTTAGAGGACCAGCACACAGTTTAGGGCATCAGTATGTTAATGAGCTACAGACCACATAAATTTCAATAGGGTAATGATGGTTCCCAAGTATATGCTTGGCCGAGTCATTAGATAGTAGCTTTTTAAGTGTCATCTTCAAGTTATAAATAATATAAATACACATACAACAAAACATAATCCCAATTGTCATTTGCAAAAAAGGATAATGTTAGCTGTAAATGTTAGCTCCACTTGAATGAGCTGTCTAAAATAAATGATAACTAACAGTAAAATACCTACATGACAGCTAATCACAGTGGAACAATTATAAACAGGATGGACAAAACTAAAGCACTAAAAGCACAACTAAAACTAGCACAAGACCTCAAAGGAAATGGTATTGCCATATGTTCATGAAAAACAAAAACTTGTGTAGAATACAGAAACACTGTTGCTATTTTAATTATTTGTTTTTTAAAAAGATTTCCAAATTTTAACAAGAGTGATGAGTCAGCTCTTCAGTACAAAGCAAAGCAGTATTTAATTGAAAAGATTACTGAGCTTGCCAACTTTGGTCTTTTCAGCCACACACAGCAAAAGTGTCATTTTCAAATATGAAAAATAACAAATTATACAAATATTTTTAAGTTGCTATATTAAACTAATGTGAGTTGAGACTTGAGATCTCATTCGTAAATCCATTTTAAATTTAGGTCCTTACAGATTTAATCCAAGTTTTCAAAAAAATCTTAACATGCCTGTTAAAGAGATCCTAATTGTTAAAGATCTTTGACCCAGCACACATACTCCTTCAACATGGCAGGCCCTCTTGGCCTTGGCTCATTTCCACTTGAGACTGGTTTTGTTCAGTATTGTACACATGCATACATGCAGCATAATACAGGACATATTATAATGCAGTCAAAATTTATGTTTTATTCACATACTATCACCTGCTGGTACTTTAGCTCAAAACATCTTACACAGGGAGATATACATAAGTGATATTAGCTCAGGCCAATTCGCAAGGCTGAAGACGTAAAAGAAACCTACTCTAATGTCAGATTAAATCTAAAAAATTATTATGGTTGAACTTTCCTGAAAACCCTCATGTTGTCAGAGTGCAATCACCATGTGAACTGGACACATGTTCCTTCCGGACAATGAAAGCTACAAGTATCATCTCAGACTTCCATTGATGGACATTATAAATACCCCTTACCAGGAGGCAAACTATTCACTCCTTTGAAGTAAAATCTCCATGTGGACCTCTCTCTCTCTCTCTCTCTCTGTATTTTTTTTTTTTTTTTTTTTTTTTTTTTAGATAGAGTCTTGCTGTCTCACTCTATTGCCCAGGCTGGAGTGCAGTGGCACCATGTCGGCTCACTGCAACCTCTGCTTCCTGGGTTCAAGCAATTCTTGGCCTCAGCCTCCCGCTCCCAAGTAGCTGGGATTACAGGTGCCCACCACCATGCCCGGCTAATTATTTTGTATTTTTAGTAGAGACAGGGTTTCACCAGCTTGGCCAGACTGGTCTTGAACTCCTGACCTCATGATCCACCCGCCTCGGCCTCCCAAAGTGCTAGAATCACAGGCATGAGCCACCGTGCCTGGCCATACCTCTCTTTTATTCTTTAAACAAGAGTCCTTAATGTCACTCTGTAACCTCAATAATTCCTGGTGTCAAATCTCCATTTTCCTGGACAATTTAATCTGTAGCAATATTTATTTATCTATTTATGAGATGGGGTCTTATTCTATTGCCCAGGCTAGAGTGCAGTGGTGCGATAATGGCTCACTGCAGCCTCAACCTTCCCAGGTCAAGTAATCCTTTCACATCAGCCTCCCAAGTAGCTGAAACTACAGGTGTGTGCTACCATGGCTGGCTAATTTTTTGTTTGTTCATTTGTTTTACTGCAGAGACAGAGTTCTGCCATGTTGCCCAAGTTAGTCTTTAACTCCTGGGCTGAAGAAGATTTGATTGCCTCGGTCTCTCAAAGTGCTGGGATTATAGGTGAGCCACTGAGCCTGACCTGATCCAACTAAACTTCAACAGTAGCAGTATCTTGGGGCATTTAAATTTCACTTTAACTAACTGATAAAACCAAACTTAAATATGACAATTTCATAGGATATAAGCAAATTCCACAGATTCCTTACATTTATGGTCCTTGCTGGGCTCATCAAGCAGACACTCACCCCAGGGCTTCTGCATTTGATGTTTCCAGTATGTTCAGCGCTCACTTTCCCGCTCCTCCCAAATCTGCATGGCACAGGACTTCATTTAAGTCTTGAAACAATTGCCATCATTTCAGAGAGGTGACTACCTCATCTAAAATGGCTGGCCCTCCAAATTCCTTGGATCACAAGGTCAGGAGTTCAAGACCAGCCTGGCCAAGATGGTGAACCCCATCTTTACTCAAAATGCAATATAATTATAGACTAACAGTATTTTGGTGCTTGAACAGAGTTTTTTAATCTATGTAAGTAAAGGGCATGAGGGGAAACACACTTTACTTGCTAAAATTATTCCTCTCCATTTTTCTCTAAGCCTCCTTTAATTATGGACTGAAATTTAGTTAGGTTTATCTGGTTCATTCAGAAATCTCTAAGAGAGGTCATTTAATACCTTATAGCATAACATCACATCAGGTGATTTAAGCTCCTCTCCTACACAGTTTCAAATACAGAAAAGCAATGACCATTCTTAGAAAAGATCTTCACTAGTCATCCACAGTCAGAGGGACATTAAGAAGCAATTGCAAAAAACTGTGGAGACAATATACAATTTTCTCAGCACAATTTACATAGTTGTCTGACTAGTCTCTTCCTTGTAAAAGTCCAGTGTCTTCATTTGATGTGCTGAGTTAAACTGTAAACTCCTGAATAACCTGAACTCTTGTTTGGGGAAAAAAATGTTTTTTTCACCTACATACTATAAAAAATGGTGACATTTCTCACAAGGGTCATGATGTGGGCTCCCATAAAAGACATCGTAGAGCATGATAAAGAATGTTTTCTCTCAGAAGAACATTTCTAACACCCAGTTCTCCATGTTAAATGTCACCTTTGGTTTACCCTTCAGACTCACCATATCCATGATGTTTAAAATTGCAACCCACACCTGCACTCCCAATTCCCTTTCTTTGTTCTCCCTTTTCATTTTTCATAGCATTTATAATTTTCTCACCTAACAAGCAAATATGTTTTTTATCATTCTTTTCTAGAATGTAAGCTCCAGAGGGAAGGGATCTTTGTCTCTTTTGTTCATTGATACATCCAAGCACCAAGGACAGGACCTGATACAAAATAAATTTTTGTTGAAAAAAATGAATGAAGCTATGTTGAGTTCAGTACAAAAATATCTCTGAAGTTAGATTCCAATTTTATTTAGACAATTAACAAATACCTTCTAAGCTCCAATTATGGAGACAGATTGATCATAGCCATACAAATATGTAATATCAGATAGTGATTAAGTGCTACAAAGCCAAACCAGCAGTACAAGAGTTTGGAGAGCCAGCCATTTTAGATAAGGTAGTCACCTCTCTGAAATGACGGCAATTGTTTCAAGACTTAAATGAAGTCCTGCGCCACGCAGATGTGGGAGGAGTGGGAAAGTGAGCATTGAGCACACTGGAAATATCAAATGCAGAAGCCCTGCGGTGAGGGTTCAGAAAGAGCAATACGGCCTGAGTTGGGAAAGCGGGGTATGCAAGAACGTATCATTCTTGTTGCTTTTTTCTGCTGCTTAATATCACGCATGCACCGTCTAGCAGGAAATAGAGATTACATTTCACCTGAAGTACTCATTCTCTGAGCCTAAGTGGCTCTTCCATTCCAGTCCCCAAATATCTATATTAGCTCATCATATAAGATTACAAAGCACACAGTAATGACTGTTAGAAACTCTTCACAGTAGCCACAGGAGTCCGGAAACTGACTTAACTAAGAACCAGTGTCCAGTAAGGTGTAAAGCCCAGCAGGAATGCAATATTATGAAGGTGTAAAGCCATGAGGCTCAATAAACAGTGACTGTCACTTTGAAGTCTGGGGGAAAGAGCAACGATCCAGAGCAGTTTGTGAACTCAACCACTTTTATTCAGCTCTGACAAGGTAAGGTTGCCAAGCACGGTACAAGGTAGCTCTCTACGACATGCATTTTGTTACAGTCCTGGGCTCGAAGTGTTGCAACATTTTATGTAATTTTTGCAAAGAACAAAAGCAAACGTTCATTCTAAATTCGCCTTCCAACTCAGTTCTTCCTCCGCCATACGGAGCACTTAGAAAGTTTTCAACCTTTGAAAACCTCTATTTCCAGGGCTGAGCAGAGAAGTGTATGTTCAGGGTTAAGGCGGCAATTTCTTCCCATCCCTCCATAGTTCCAAAACAGCTTCGCCTAACAAAGTGAAACTTTCTGCGCTATTCCTGGTCATCAGGACCAAATGTCGAAAGCATAAACTGCCACTGAGTTAGCGAGCCGGTCCGGGGCCCGGGACCTGGGGTACTAGATTGATGGGGCGGAAGCCTGGGTCGAGGCGACAGAAATTAAATCGGCAACCTATGCTGAGCAGCGAGTGGGTTAGGAAGGCAAACTCCAGGCAGGACCCTCCCCCAGGACCCGGGACGCCCCACACCAGACCCGGGAGCTCAGGAAGAGAACAGCCTTCTGGCAGGCGAGCACATCGGAACGACGCCAAACGCGACCCCTACCAGACGACTCGCGCATGCGCAGCGTGGTGCAGCCTGGGCCGGCGTCTGAGTAGTATGTAGCCCCAGAGCAGCGCACCGGGTCCCCGCCAGCGGAATTGCGCATGTGCAGGGCAGCCACTGCCCCGCGGCCTGGGCTGGGGTGTAGCCCCAGAACCCAGCCCCTAGCCCTCGCCGGCAGGTGTACGCATGCGCGGCGATGCCTAGGCCTGTGGTACGGTCGCCGCTCTAGTCCCCGGGGCCCCCCACTGGTCTCTTGGCTGGGAGGTCGGGCCTCGGGCGGGTGGAGGTGGCCTGCCCGGGTGGTACCTGACCGCGGCCCGCGTTAGGGCCGCGATCTCCCTCGCCCTCCCTCACCACCCTTCCACCCTCTTACCTCCGCGCAGGCCAGAGCCGCGTCCGCTCCGCCTCCTTGGTCCCGGTTACTGCTCGGTCGGGGGCCTGGCGCAGCGAGGTGTTGGCGCCTCCCCCTGAAGCGGCCGGGCCTCGGCGGGATGCGCTCCGGTGCCCGGGAGAGAAAGGAAGGGAGCGCAGACGAGGGGAGGGGGCTGGCGACGGCGCCTCGCCCCTCCTCTCCTCCCTTGGCTGCCCACCGCCGCCCCCGTCTTTCTCGCAGGCGCCCCCTCCCCTTCGTATTGACCCCGGGGAGTAGACGCAGCCTCTCCCGCTGGGGCTGCCTCCGCCTTTCCAGGGAATTCCTCCGTGGGCCACCCCCACCTTCTCCGGGGTTAGGTTCTCCCAAATCTTGGAAATCGGTGGATACCCGACCTAGAAGGATGAAGCGTGTATGATGCCAAGAGCAACCTTTTCCACAGCCCCTCTCCTCAGCCTGCCACCGCTTTTCTGGTGGTGGTCCCTCCATCTGGGAGCTCTGATCACTTCACGTTTTCACCCCATTGCTGTGGGGCGGAAGTCCTGTAACCCCCTATAGTACAAATGCTGAAATAATGAGGGATGTGTGCTGGTGGGTTGGGAGGGGGTGACCTCAGTTACCTTGGGGCCAAGGGCTTCGGAAACAGCCACCTTCTCCCCTTATTATTATTATATTTTGCAGTAATTTCTTAATATTACACTCCACTTCTGTTGGCCTTTGTAGATTTAAGTAAAATGCACCACAACTTTGCAATGTGCAATAATTTCTTCCACTGCACTACACTTAAATTGACCTGAGTGGGTTTTGGTAAAATGCTCAACAGTTAAATGTTATTAGCTATTCCTATGAAGTAAGCTGCTTGCTTTTCTACTGGCTTTTTCACGAGGACACTGGTTCCTCTCCAGTGTAGAGCCAAAAGTAGTAGAACTAGATAGAAAAACAGATTCCAACCCACAGCGACCATGTCAGTTTGCTTTGTTTGGCTTTTGTCGTTTGTTGGGAAAAAACATCATTCTGGAATGTGTGACTGCCTTTCTACTACAGTCGGTAGACGTTTATCTCTATTAATGAGCCTCAGAAGGAGGCTTGCAAGATGGGATACAGGTATTTCTCATAGAACTCTAAAAGGAAGAAAAAGTTTGTAAGTATACATTCACAGGAAGTTGCAGAGATGGTGCAGAGAGACATTGTGTGCCTTCCCCCAGTTTCCCCATTGGTTACATCTTATCAATGAAAGAAATTTATCAGTTAAAAATGTTTGCGTCAGAAAAAGCTCACTTTAGTGATGATAGCTGATAGCTGGCTTTTTAAATTATTATTATTATTTTAGCACCCATTGTGTCCCAGGAGCTTTATCTTATTTGGAGCTCACAATAATCCTGTAACGCAGGGATTATCCTTACTTTACAGATAAGGCAACTCAGGCCCCAAGAGATTAAGTTTCTTTCATCAGCAACCATGGCAAGATCTGTTTGCCTCGCACACTTCATCTTTTCCACGTTGTGGACAGCTGAATTTCAGGCAGGCCATACACTGTGCTTCAGTTGAAGCTGGGCAATTAGCTAACAATAAAAACATGTCTTTATGTTTGAGAACTGTGATATTTTCTCAGAAGTTAAAACTTTTAAATCTACCTATCAAAGAATGTGTTTCATTAAAGATTTTAATTTTACATGGGTCCAATAGTTTTTCCCAGGGCAGTCAAAATTAAAAGCAGGAGGTAAAAATGTCTGCATCACATATAAGTTTTTTTCAAAATTTTTGGATAATTTGGTCCACTAAACTTCACTGTATTGCCGAATTCAGTAGACTAAAAGATTGGGCTCTGAGAGAGTATAGGTTAGCATTTCAGGAGTTAAAGTTCCCATCACCACATCTGCCAAGTTTACCTACATCTGGACCTATGCACTCTGTATTTCCTCCCATTACTGGGAATGAGTGGTCCATGCTCTTATTTAAATTCAACTCTTCCACCTTTTATTAGGTCCTGTCTTCCTTACAGTCTCAAGGTATTCACTCCAGTATTTGTCACCTCTCAATCCTACATCATTAATTTTTATCTCTATGCTGGATCATTCCCATATGCATATTAACATTGTGCAACATTTGCCTATCTTTTTAAAAAGTTCCTTAATAACATGTCCCCTACCAGCTACCAACATGTTCTCTTCCAAAATGTCTTAAAAGAGTCACTTATATTCATTGTATCCTCATCCCCTCCTCCTCCTATTCATTCTCTCTCTCTCTCTCTCTCTCTCTCTCTCTCTCTCTCTCTCTCTTTTTTTTCTGAGATGGAATCTTGCTCTATCACCCAGGCTGGAGTGCAGTGCTGCGATCTCAGCTCACTGCAGCCTCCGCCGTCTGGATTCATGGGATTTTTGTGCATCAGCCTCCCAAGTAGCTGGGCCAAGAGACACATGTCATTATGCCAGCTAATGTTTGTTTTTTGTGTCTTTTTTTGAGAAGGAGTTTTGTTCTTGTTGCCCAGGCTGGAGTGTGGTTGTACAATCTTGGCTCACTGCAACCTCCATCTCCAGGGTTCCAGTGACTCTCCTGCCTCAGCCTCCCAAGTAGCTGGGATTACAGGCACCCACCACGCCTGGCTAATTTTTTGTATTTTTAGTAGAGATGGGATTTTGCCATGTTGAGCAGCCTGGTCTTGAACTCCTGACTGCAGATGATCCACCCGCCTCGGCCTCCCGAAGTGCTGGGATTACAGGTTTGAGCCACCACACCCGGCAATTTTTGCATTTTTAATAGAGATGGGGTTTCGCCATGTTGAGCAGCCTGGTCTTGAACTCCTGACCTCAGATGATCCGCCCACCTCAGCCTCCCAAAGTCCTAAGATTATAGGTGTGAACTACCATGCCCGTCCCTCCTATTCATTGTGGAATCTATTTCAGCCAGGCTTTTGCCCCATCCCTCCACTGAAACTCCTCTTGGCAAAGTCACCAATGACCTCAGAATTGCTGAATCAGTGGTTACATTTCCATTATATCACTTGAACTATCAGGAGCATTAGAACACTTTACAGGATTCCGCGCCAAAGTTGGCCGCGCACGTTGGTGTAGCGAGCGGGGTCACTGCTCACTGCTGCTGTCATGGTTCAATTGCTAAACTGCATCGTCGCTGTGTCCCAGAACATGGGCATCGGCAAGAACGGTGAACTGCCCTGGCCGCCGCTCAGGAATGAATTCAGGTATTTCCAGAGAATGACCACGACCTCTTCAGTAGAAGATAAACAGAATTTGGTGATTATGGGTAGGAAGACCTGGTTCTCCATTCCTGAGAAGAATCGCCCTTTAAAGGATAGAATTAATGTAGTTCTCAGCAGGGAACTCAAGGAACCTCCACAAGGAGCTCTTCTTGCCAGAAGTCTGGATGATGCCTTAAAACTTACTGAACAACCAGAATTAGCAAATAAAGTAGACATGATTTGGATAATTGGTGGCAGTTCTGTTTATAAGGAAGCCATGGATCACCCAGGCCATCTTAAACTGTTCGTGGCAAGGATCATGCAGGACTTTGAAAGTGACACGTTTTTTCCAGAAATTGATTTGGAGAAATATAAACTTCTGCCACAATACCCAGGTGTTCCCTCTGATGACCAGGAGGAGAAAGGCATTAAGTACAAATTTGAAGTATATGAGAAGAATGATTAATATGAATGTGTTTTCTGGATTAAGCTGTTCCTCCTCCCTCTGAAAAAAAATTATATATTTTTACATTAGAAAAAAAGACTTTTTTTCCTTCTACAAGATCTTATGGAAGCTTTTCTCTCTTATCTTTTTCTTTCCCCTCTTTCTCTCTTTCTGCAAAGAAAAAAAAAAGACTTAGCAACTTTAGATCTGTGGATAATATTTCTAAGCAATGTGTTTGTATTCCCCACTAGTCTTTTTTTATTTATTTATTTTTTTGCTGTACACTACTATTGACTTTATACTTTACACTTTCCCCACTAATCTTGGCTATATCAGATACCATTTATGAAACATTCTTGCTATAACTAAGTGCCTATTCAAGACCCCGACTGAGTCCCCAGCACCTGCTACACAGTGAGCTGCCATTCCACACCCATCACGTGGCACTCTTGCCAGTCCTTACATTGTCGAGCTTTTCAAATGTTGATAGTATTTATTAAAGATGCACATACCCTTCAACTGAGGATTTTCACTAGTGAGAAACATCGAAAGCTTCCTACATGTATATCCAGAGGTTTGTAGACAAACGTTGCAGCCTTGTTTGTAACAGTGAAAAATTGAAAACAACCTGGAAGTCCAGTGAAAGCAGTTTATTTGCTAGGTCATACCAGAAATCATCAAATGAGGTATGGAGAAATGGAACTGAGTAGGTAAGAAAACCAGTTTAAAGTCATTGAGCAGGTTCTCATTGGTAACAAGCTCCATACTGCTGAGATACGGGGAAACGGAGGGGAGAAAGCTGGAGTGTTGATCCCCCACTCCTTGGGTGTCATCTCCCTTTCCTGTGTGTGGGTGGAACGTACTCCAGCTGCTCTATAGCAAGTCCCAGGTGTTTGCATGCACGGGAACAGTGATTGCCAAACACTTAAAGCAATTGTATGTTTAAGTATGTAAGCTCTTCATGCTTTTTTTTTTGTTTTTGGTAGATAGAGTTTCACTGTTGTTGCCCAGGCAGAGTGCAGTGGCACAACCTTGGCTCACTGCAACTTCTGCCTTCCCAGGTTGGAGCAATTCTCCTGCCTCAGGCTCCCGAGTAGCTGGGACTGCAGGTGCACACCACCACGCCCAGGTAATTTTGTGTTTTTGGTGGAGACGGCGTTTCACCATGTTGGCCAGGCTGGTCTCAGACTCCTGACCTCAAGTGATCTGTCTGCCTTGGCCTCCCAGAGTGCTGGGATTAACAGGCATGAGCCACCGCACCCAGCTGATCTTCATTTTTTTAATGTAGTAAAAAGTGTGAAGCCACACATGGTTTATTTAAAATACTTTATAATTTTAAAAAATTGCTTAGAAGGAAAAGCAATTCTAAGTTCAAGCGAGGGATGGTGGTAGTTTGAACCAAAGGATTGCATGTAGTAAGGAATTGTCATTTAAGATATATTTTAAACTTGGCCGTTGCAGGATATTTCAATGGAGTTTGATTTTGGTTTTGGCCCACTGAGTTTGAGATGCTTTTGAGAAGTGAAGAAAGTAGAGAGAGAATAAAAGAAAAATTGGCCAGGCACAGCAGCTCACGCCTGTAATTTTGGTAGGCCAAGGCAGGTAAATCACTTGAGAACAGCTTGGGCAGCGTGGTGAAGCCCTGTCTCTACAAAAAATGCAAAAATTGGCTGGGCGTTGTGGTGCACACCTGTAGTCTCATCTGCTCAGGGAACTGAGATGAAAGAATCAATTGAGTTCAAGGCTGCTGTGGTGCCTCGTGATTGTGCTGCTGCACTCCAGCCTGGGTGGCAGAAGAGACCCTGTCTTGAAAGAGAATCTGAAAACAATGGAACCATGCTTTCAGAATTCTAGAAAGAATGTTATTTTCAACTGATAAATCTATATCAGCCAAATAATCGAGGGTTGAAGGTAAAATAATACATTTTTAGACAAGCAAAGACTCAGGTTACCTCCATGTGCTCTTTCTTGGGAAGCTATTGGAGAATATATTCCAGCAAAATGAAGGAGTACACAAACAAGAGAATGACATGGATCCAATAAATAGGATCCAACACAGGCAATATTCCAGGTATGGAGCTGGCTTTACAAAGAAACAGTAAAAATATTAATAGGTTAGCTGGGTGGAATGGCTCATGCCTGTAGTCCCAGCTACTCGGGGCTAAGCAAGAAGATGGCTCGAGCCCAAGAGTGACAGACCAGCCTGGCCACCATAGTGAGGTCTCTTCTCTTCATAGTAGGGGTCGAGCACAGTGGCTCACGCTTATAGTCCCAGCACTTTGAGAGGCCAAGACAGGCAGATCATGAGGTCTGGAGTTCAAGACCAGCCTGACCAATATGGTGAAACCACATCTCTACTAAAAATAATATTGGCCAGGCATGGTTGTACATGCCTGTGGTCCAGGCTGCTCGGGAAGCTGAGGCAGGAGAATTGCTTGAACCTGAGAGGTGGAGGCTGCAGTGAGCCTAGATCGTGCCACTGCACTCCAGCCTGGGTGACGGAGTAAGACTCTGTCTCAAAAATAGTAATAGGTTATTGCCAGATTTGGGGCATTTGGAAAGAAGTTCACTGAAGGAAAATAAAGTAAAAAAAAAAGGTGGGGGGAAGGGATGGTTAGGCAATCATTGATTCTAGGACAATCATTGATTCTAGGACAGAAAAGTACGGGATAGGAAGTAAGAGCATAGTTGCTCTTTTTCTCAACAATCAGCAATCTGTACATAGTCATAATCATGTGGTGACTGCTTACCCCTTAAATCTGGTACCTACTTTGGGACAATATGGGAGGAAAAGTGAAGATAGTGATGGTGTAAGAGCTAGAGCCTAATCTGTCGTATCAAGAAATCACTATATAATATATAAAATAATCAAGAAATGACTAGTTATGTGAGGTAAAAAATAGAAGACATTGCTAAAAGAGTTAAAAGTCATTGCTCTGGAGAATTAGGAGGGATGGGACAGGGGACTGTTAGGATGCATTATAAACTGAAAAGTCTTCTGTAAATTACATGTGTTAATATACACATTCACTTGAAAAACTAAAAACATACGAATTTGGAAAAACCCAGGAAGGTAAATGCCAGAAGGAAAAACTAACAGAATGAAAAGTGCTTGCCTGTGGAATGAACAACTGGCAGGAATGTTGTTTTCATTGTAAGAGTTTTAGAGCCATTTGATTTTACTTAACCATTTTCATATATTTCTTTAATAAAAACAATTCCATCTTAAATAAAAAGTTACACTCAAAAAAAAAAAAGAACACTTTACAGGTACCATCTTGAAGCATTTACCTTCTTCCCTTGGCCTTCAGGTGGCCCCTGTCTTTTGGTTTGTCTACCTCACTGGCAGCTCCAATAGCTCATCCTCCACTTCTCCAGCCACTAGCATGCCCAGAGTTTGGTTCTTGGACTTCTCTATCTTCTCATTCTCTTAGCAATTTTATTTCAAGACATGGTTTTTAGAATTCAGTCTGGGGCCATTCCTTCTCCTCCCAGCCTCCCAGGCCCTGCCACTTCTTATGTCCTAACAGGCTCATGACACTACAAGGAAAGTAGGAGCCCTTGTCCTTTTCCACCCCACAATGGGGTCCCAGCTGCAATAAAAGTCTAATTTTTCTTCCCTTTTAAAACCCCCGTTATTTCTGCTTTGGGGTATCTTTAAGCCTCCCTTAGTTACCCAAAAGCATAGGAATTCATCTTGCTTTTTTCTTTTCAGGTATCCAGGCACCAAGGCCCTAATCACAACAAAAGTTGGATGGGGTCATCTTTTGACTTTTTCTTGGAAATTCAGAAAGTCTAGTTTTGCTTCAGGGAAGATGAAAATGTTCTTTCTTTCCTCTTTGAGTCTCCAGCACAAAAATTTTACACCAGTAAATTTCAACATCAGTCTGCTTGTTACAGATTGAATGCATGAATGAATGACTGCAAGTGATATGCACTTTGGTGCCCCATGTGCCATTGATTAGGTGAATGACCTTGGATAGCACCTTAGTTTTCTAGAACTTAAATTTTTTGAGACTTCATGAAATTGGTGATTTGTATTACATTTCTTAGTTTCCTCTCCTAGGTTTAAAATAATATGCTTTACCTACTGCAGTAGCTCCAAAGAGAAACTAAAAACTTGAATCAACTGGCCAAACTCTGGATAGCTGACAGGAAAAGGACTTGTTTGGAACAAGGGGTCTGACTGAGGGGAGCAGTTCTATGGAAGAGGAGGAGGAGGAACCCCACTAAGCACATTCTTTGATCAGAAGGGAAGGGATACCCACTATACCAGATAAACGTTTTTCCTTTATGCATCTGAATTTTTTAATCTATTATTTTATCATTTAGAATTTATTTTCCAATTTTATTTCAGATAATGCCATTGCTACACCTATATTTCTACAGGTCGTATCTAGAAATATATCTAAGCCACAACAAAGGTAAGAGAACAACTTTCTGACTCGATATCTAAGGGCAACCTCTGGTAATGTTAGCTCTCCTTAAATCCCATGGGAGCTGGGAGGATAGGGTGCTCCTAGTAGAATTCTGCAAACACCATGTAGTATCCTCCTCCTTCACCAATCCTGCTGAGCACAAGGGACCCTCCTGGGGTCCCAGCTACTTCCCAATGTGTGGTGTATGGGAGGGTGTAAGTGGCCAGGTTGCTGTGGACATAGAAGGCACAAAAGGAGCCCTGCCCAGCTTTGTGTTTTGTAGAGATATCAGTCACACTGCACCTTTACTGATGCATGCTATTACCATGCTGTATAGCATTGTGCATCTCAGCGTGGTATTAGAATTCGTGTAAGAATACAAAAGTGATAGAGATGATAATAGGCACACATACACTTACAATGGCAATACTGAAAGAATGACAAAATACCAAGAGATGATCAAAGAAGCCTTTCCAAAACAGATAACTTTAGCATTAAGTTTTCAGTGTGGGCTGGTACAGTGGCTCATGCCTGTAATCCCAGCCTTTTGGGAGGCAGAGACAGGCGGATCACTTGAGGTCAGGAGTTCTTGATCAGCCTGGCCAACCTGGTGAAACCCCATCTTTGCTAAAAATACAAAAAATTAGCCAGGCGTGGTGGTGGGCACTTGTAATCCCAGCCACTCAGGTGGCTGAGTCAGTGTGTATATGAGTTAGCTAAGAGAACAAAGGTTAGGGATGGAAGTGTTAGGGAAGGGAAATATTCTAAGTAGAATAGGAAGTGTGATCTATTTGAGAATTATATATTGCTCAGTAAGCCTAAAACTAAGGCTATGTGGAGGGGATAGGGCAATG